TAGTCTGCAGCCTAGTTCGGACCTTCAATGTTCAAATGTTGACTCATGCCGGATACAACCCCTGTTTTAATTGATGTATTAAATTATTAATAATAATAAAGAAAAAAAGGCTAGTTAATCACCGGGACCCACTAGTAGCATAATCTAGTAGCCGTACCTGGCTTAATTAGTAGTAACACGTAATATAAAAAAATACTAAACGTATTACGATGCGTCAAACCCACTAGCTTAAGAGGTGATTCATAACCTTACGCGCCGGCGAAAGCCATCCAGAGACGGCCTCTGCTACTCAAAGCCTGGAACAAAACGCAATTACAGTGACTCACGCCCAAAAAACTCAGAGCAATCCGACACAACATTTCGACGAGGTCTGCGCCCGACTTTCATAAGCCCATCATCTTCCCTGTAATCACCTTATTTTGCCTCTATACACCCAATTAAAATCAATTGCTCCTGTAAACAACGCGGCTTTTCGTGGGTCTCCGCCTTTGCATGGCTCCCCGAAACAATGCAGCTCCTTGCTGACGTCGGACTCAGCAGTCAACAACCTCATTTAATTGATGCATACTCTGAGTATAGGCACCTTCCGAAACCCCGACCCCTCGGACCCCGCCAGTGGCCTGCCATGACCTGTAATGCCAATGGTGTCGGCATGGGTATACCGTACACTTGACCCAACACTAACATCAATCACGCTAGCTCAGAAATCCAAACGTCTCATGCCAGTCGGCATAAAGGATAAACCTACCTAGGTACCCAACGCAATCCATTCAGCACATCACAGCGACGAGTCGGAGGGCTCACCTTGGCTTCAGCTAATTATCCCCATCTTTAGAACTCCAGCCCTCCACGTATTATCTGGTTCTCCATTTCAATCAAGAGACCTCAATTCGCGTCCACACCAACATTACCACAGTTCTCGACAAATATTAGTGGCATCCTCGCAGCGTCTCCCGAGTAATCGATCGCATTGCCATCTGCGAAGAGCTGAATAAACTACGGACAACCAGTGTCCGCTTGTCAACTGGACACAACATGGCCGGTGAGTTTCCACCATGTGTTGCACAGTTCTGCTGCAAACTTCTTTCATGATCTTCTCAGTCCTATTCTTGATTATGTTACCAGACATTGTCTTGCATCTATTCATCACAGCTTGGCTAACGCTCAACATCCTGCAGATAACGCCCACGATTCTCGAACCCGGCCAGCTCGATGTGAAGATACTGAGCAGGACGATGCATACTTGAGAAATGACGAAACAGTCGAAGCAATAGAAAACGGCGATGGGAGCTTTTCTCCTATGCCTGCAGACGAACAAGCTGGCTTGCAAGATGGCATGTTGTTACGAGATGTTCCGAAGCGCACAACCTTCTATGATCCTGTCGCGGAACGGCAAATGTCGCAAATGGATGCAAAACTCTTCTATCAGCGAAGCAAAATTGATCTTCGTAGTGGAACCGCAGGTGCCAGTAGTTGGACTCCTTCAAATCCCAACAGCCCGACACTGGCGTCGGGGTCCCGACCTGTTACAGAATATGGGGCTGACTCTTTAATTCTTGACCAAGATGGAGGTGGGTTGGCAACCAAATAATCATGAAATGCCCACCAAGTGACTGACACATTCAACAGTTGATGACACCGAAGTTTCCTCTATGCCTCAGAGCTTTGCTCACAATCATCCTGCCACTAGCTCCGGTGCTATTCCCAACTCTAGAAATAGTCAGAGCGAGGTGAATAATACCAGACTTGCTGCCGAGGGAAGCATGGCCGAATTTCCCAGCAACACTCTTTTCGATACCGAACCTCATGTTACAGCCGAGCTCAGTGCCATTTCTCAAAACATTCAGAAGGTGTTGGACTTGAGACGAAAGTACATTGCACTGTCGTCTCAAGGGCCAGATGACAATCCTAGAGACCAATCCAGCTGGGATATATATCCACCTCCACCTGAACCAGCCTGGGCTCAAACCAAGGGTGGTCGTACCAACTTTCCCGATGCGTTGTCTTCTGCCCAAACAGGGCATAATGACCACCGTCCTTCTTCCAGCTGGAGAAGGAAACCAGATCTCGATGTTGGAGAGGATTTCAACATGAACGACTTACTACCATTGCCCGGGGATGACGGTATGGCCTTCAGACTCGATGATAGTGGCGTTTATCAAGTGTTTGACAGTGATGACGCCACGCTGCCGGCAATCAAAGTTCCAACCATCAGGGAATTTTATATGGACCTCGAGAGTATTCTCACGATTTCATCGGATGGGCCCAGCAAGAGCTTCGCATTCCGGAGACTACAATATCTTGAAGCAAAATTCAATTTATACGCTCTGCTCAATGAGTACCAAGAAACAGCAGATAGCAAGAAAGTGCCACATCGAGACTTTTACAACGTTCGCAAAGTCGACACTCACGTTCATCACTCTGCTTGTATGAATCAGAAGCACCTACTAAGATTCATCAAGAGTAAGATGAAGAAGTATCCAAACGAAGTAGTGCTATTCCGAGATGGCAAACATTTAACCCTTGCAGAAGTGTTTGCTAGTATCAATCTTACTGCCTACGATCTGAGTATTGATACACTCGATATGCATGTAAGACCAACATGGTGCCACTGCTGACGCACAAATGCTTGCAGACACTAACAATCCACTACACTAGGCACATACCGACTCGTTTCACAGATTTGACAAGTTCAATCTCAAGTACAACCCCATCGGAGAATCTCGGTTACGAACGATATTCCTTAAGACGGACAATTTTATCCACGGACGATACTTGGCAGAAATTACTAAAGAAGTTATATCGGATTTGGAATCAAGCAAATATCAAATGGTCGAATGGCGTATTTCCATATATGGCAAGTCCATAGATGAATGGGACAAACTGGCAGCTTGGGTGGTGGATAACAAGCTCTTCTCGCACAACGTGCGATGGCTCATTCAGATTCCCCGGCTTTATGATGTCTACAAAGCAAGCGGTCTCATGGAAACGTTTGAGCAGATAGTCAAGAATGTCTTTCAGCCACTTTTCGAAGTAACGAAAGATCCATCCAGTCACCCCAAACTACATATCTTTCTGCAGCGAGTCATCGGGTTTGACAGCGTCGATGATGAAAGCAAGGTAGAACGACGGTTGTTCAGAAAATTTCCTGTTCCACAGGTATGGGATTCCAAGCAAAACCCCCCTTATAGCTACTGGATCTACTATTTATTCGCCAATGTGGCTTCTCTAAACCATTGGCGCAAGAATCGCGGGTTTAATACCCTCGTCATGCGCCCGCACTGTGGCGAAGCAGGCGACAGTGAGCACCTCGCAGTAGCCCTTCTCTCATGTCACAGTATTAGCCACGGACTATTACTCCGCAAGGTTCCTCTGCTACAATACGCGTTTTATTTAGAGCAAATAGGAATTGCTATGTCGCCTCTCAGCAACAATGCCCTTTTCCTGGCATATGAACGGAACCCATTTCACCAGTACTTCAGACGTGGGCTGAATGTTTCACTCTCCACAGACGACCCATTGCAATTTGCGTTTACCAAAGAGCCGCTCATAGAGGAGTATGCAGTCGCCGCGCAGATCTATAAGCTTAGCTCTGTGGATATGTGCGAACTGGCAAAAAATTCAGTCAAGCAAAGCGGATATGAAGCATCCATTAAAAGGATGTGGCTTGGACATAATTTTGAAAAACCAGGCAAGGATGGAAATATGATGGTCAAGACCAACGTCCCCGATCGCCGAGAAGAATTCCGATATCACACCTTACTTCAAGAGAGAGACGTGTAAGTATTCCCAAGCCGGAGCCAAGATACTGAGTGTAAAATTTTCGAGATTCGTGTCTGACCTCGTCACAGATTACGGCGATATGTGGCATATGATGGAACTAAAGAACCGAGCTCGACCGTGACAGCAGATATAGCCGCCTATAGAGCAGCCTCTCGGGCGGACGAGCCGTTAAAACTGGCAGGAATTGGCGAGAATACGCTTTGGGCTCAGGCTAGGGCTACAAGCGTGGGCGTCAAATCTCCCCTCAACGGCGAAGCCAGCTGCGACTCCGGAAGGGGTCCACATGCTATGGCAGATTTACACTTATCTGGAAGCGACCCTAGATTGTTCCCCGGAATTTTTACTCGGGATCACCGGTCTGAGAGTCTGCGAAGCTTGCAACAGGCCGATGAATGGGTCGTTGACTCAAGTGGGGCGCCTGGGGATGACGACGAAGACGAGTTATAAAAGTCTCTTGAATCGGTACAAACCTGATGCTAGTCAACCCCTACTAATAGGAGGCTGTGAAGCTACGTTTTGTCAATGACAGCACTTTCGGTAAACAGAGTGCCAAACTTAGAAGAGAGAGAAGGCGAGCAACCAGGTCGAAGAAGAGTCTGTGAAGCTGAATATAAGGCGAACTGTTGTGAACTAGACGATGGACGATTCTGTTCTTGAGCTAGATGCTTGGTTTAACCCACTCCTGAAAAAGAAGTTTTTTTTTCTTTGGGGGGCTAGTTCGGTTATACAGGGACAATGTTAAGCAATAGAGCTTATCAGGATCATGAAGTGTTCAATAGCAGTAATCTAAACCCCAGGCATGAACGCCCAACTGAAATGCATTGAATCGCCCACAACTATCTGGTTGACATCATACTTTTAATAGCAAGCATAGACTCTTGGACACTCTTGCTAGTTATTTTGGTCGTAATTCGAAGAAGATCTGATTTTCTAATTTTTCTAATGCAGGGCGTTCCATGCGTCACCGAGGAAGCCATGTCGGCCCACCAAGTCGCGACCACCCCTTGTAAGTTGAGAGTGAGCTTACCTAACCTGCTGCTCCAACGTCGTCACCACCCACCTCCTCCACCACAATCAACTTACCTGCCTGTACCCATTCCCTCCGCTTGCCTCTCCTTACCTGCCGAGCTCGCGTCATTGCAACGCAATATACGAAAAATCCAGGAAACCTTGGTGGTGCGTAGCACACACGCGCCATCTCCCTAGCCGACGCCGATATGGGATTTCTAGGTGTGTACACAACTATTTACGATTATGAACCACGAGCCGAAGGCGAGCTGGCCATTGCCGAAGGTGATGTGCTCTATGTCCTGGAGAAGGGTGAAGATGATGGATGGTGGAAAGCCAAGAAAAAGGCCGGTATGGAGGATGAAGATGAGCCGGTTGGTTTAGTACCAAATAATTATGTGGAGGAGGTAGGTTCTGCGAAGAGCATTTCAACTCGAGTGAGACGATCTCATGCCAATAATTCTTGGTATTTTAGGCTCCGATTGTCAGCCATGCCCGCGCTATTTACGAATATACCCGCCAGACAGATGAAGAACTTTCTTTTCCTGAAGAAGCCGTACTGCAAGTGTTCGACACGTCCGACCCTGACTGGATACTTGTTGGTCTTGACGGCGAGTATGGGTTCGTTCCATCAAACTACATTGAGATGCAAGAAGGCACAACCCAAGACTCTCCAAGCTTGCCTGCGCCACCCGCATTGCCAGTAAGGCCTCACTCGGTAGCCGCACCGAAAGAATCACCGTCCAACACAACTTCGTCCCTGTCGACACCGGCGGCTGCTTTAGCAAGTGTCATCCAAGGAAAAGCCAGGGCGTCGACGCAAAACCCATCCTCACCGCCTACCCAACAGCCGACAGGATACCAGACACAACATGACGATTCTCGTCCGTCAGAGGATCGTGAGGATAACCCCGAGCCTCGTTCTCCGGCGCTGCCTTCCCGTCCCCGACCCACAAGCACAATTGATGATACCCCGGAGCGCTCATCTTCTCGACTAGAGGCACGCGAGGCTCAGCTGACAGAGGAACCATATCGAACACCTGGAGGGTTCCACATGTACAATATCAACGAAATGGTGTCTGTGATGGGCAAACGGAAGAAAATGCCTACAACCTTGGGCATTAATTTAGGCACAGGCACAATTCTCATTGCTCCTGAACGTGCTGAAGACGACCCTCCACAAGAATGGGCTGCGGAAAGGATGACGCATTACTCCAGGGAGGGCAAGCATGTTTTCATGGAACTCGTCCGTCCCAGTAAAAGCATCGACTTCCACGCTGGCGCCAAAGATACAGCGGAAGAAATTGTGGCAGCCCTAGGTGAACTCTCTGGTGCAGTGCGTGCTGAAGGTTTACGAGAGGTGATTATGGCGAGCTCGCAACGCAGGCAACACAAAGGGCATGTTCTGTATGATTTTATGGCACAGGGGGATGATGAAGTTACTGTTGCAGCTGGTGATGACGTTGTCATCATTGATGATTCCAAGAGTGAAGATTGGTGGCAGGTCCGACGAGTGAAGAATGGCAAAGAGGGCGTCGTACCCAGCAGCTATATCGAAATATCCGGAATCACGTCTCCACCGGCTTCAAGCAATTCTGGGATCGACTCTGCTAGGGCAACTGTAGAGCAAAACCGGCTCGAGGAGATAAGGTTAACCAAAGAGGCCATAAGAGCAAGCAAGGAGCCTCAGCAGGTAGGACATGGGACGCCTCTCCCTGAAAGAGGTAGCAGCCTTGTAGCCGGAGAAAATGGTAATAATTCGAGGCAACAGCGAAGCCGGCGGGAAAACGGACGCAACGAAGTCGGAAATCATCACAAATCAAAATCAAGTTTGTCAATCCCCCAGGACTTCTCTAATGAATAAGATATAATCGAATTAACATTAACCCTAGAGCCTGACATTTCTAAGTTACGAACATGGACCGATAGATCAGGCTCCTTCAGCGTTGAGGCACAGTTCCTCGGGCTCAAAGACGGGAAGATCCACTTACACAAATTGAACGGAGTCAAAATTGCGGTTCCGATTGCGAAAATGTCACGCGAGGACCTGGAATACGTTGAGAATGTAACTGGCATTTCTTTGGATGACGACAAACCATTAGCGGATGTCAAAAGGACGAAATTGATGGACAGACGGCCTGCCGAGGTCGGCGCATCGGTTAGCAAGAATCCCAAGCCAGAGTATGACTGGTTTCAATTTTTTCTTTCTTGCGACGTTCCAGTTGGATTATGCGAACGATACGCCCAAGCCTTTACAAAGGATTCCATGGATGAAAGTGTACTTCCCGACGTTAACGCCACAATCCTTCGAACGCTCGGTCTGAGGGAGGGAGACATAATCAAAGTCATGCGCACATTAGACATGAAGTTTGGCCGAGAACGTAACGTTCAAGACTCCGAAGCAAATGCCGGGGGGCTCTTCTCTGGCCCGGGGGGCGCTCTTCGAAACAATACTAGAAAAGGACGACCTGCGCCGGCGGTGCAAACAAGCGACGTGGTAGATGCTGCTGCCTTCTCCAAGGATGACGTTGGATCGCCTGGTCCTAGTTCTCAGAATGCTGCATCTCCTTCTGGGACTGGTCCCACCAGGACTGACAACAAAAAAAGTGGTTTTGATGATGATGCCTGGGACGTGAAGCCGAGCAGTTTCCCTGCAGGCACCACAGACAAACCAGCAAAGCCTGTTGCTGCAGCGCCTGCAATGCAGCCAACAACAGCCTCGAACTCAGGTGTTACGCTGACTGGCTCAATTAAGGAGTTGTCGCTATTGACAGAGCCCCTTCAGCCAAGCAAGGTGGAAGCGGTATCTGCTGCAGAGCTACGCCAACCAGTTGAGCAGAAGGAGGAACCCTCAGCACAGAATCTTCCTAGCGTGAGTCCGACATTTTTCTCAACTGTGCCCAGCTCTAACGGAACCGGCCCTCTTGCCTCGCAAGCTATTACTGGGATCCCTCCAAGGCTTGCGAGACAGCGGCCTGCACCCCCATCAATATCACCAAACCAGACCTCTTTGGTATCGCCGCCCCCGCAAAGGCCGTTATCAGCACCTCACTCGGCCCAGTCAGCTACTTTCTCGCCTCCAGCCTTGGCACCTCAGATGACTGGCTCTGTCCAAGGACAAGTAGCACCTCCAGGCCAAAGCCTCGGCGATATTGCCCAAGCCAGGTTGCAACAACAGTACACCTCCCAGTTTCAACAGTTGCAGCCTGCCATGACTGGTTATATCAGCGTCCAGCCACCGGGCATAACATCCTTCTCTGCTGGCATTCCAGGGCAGCAACAATTCATGCATCCTATGACGACAGGCATTCCCGGGAATCTCAATCGTCAGGCTCAATTTGTGCCAATTCAAACTCAACCGACAGGGTACCAAGCATCATTCCCATCTTCAATTTCAGGATTTCCACAAGGTATGGCGGCGACTGGCAACATAAATAGCTTCTTACCCCAAGCATTAGAACCACAACGTACAGGAGTTCAAGGCATACAGCCTCAACAGACCAGTATAGCAGGTGGCAGTAGCTTTGTACAACCATTGCAGCCTCAAAAAACAGGGCCTCCGCCTCCGGTTCGCTTCGGAATCTCTTCAGATCCGAAAAAGCTCACTCCCCAGCAAACTGGTAGACGAGCCAACTTATCTCAAGCAAGTAAGTGCAGAACGCAGTCATCCAAAAAATATTATGTGTCTTATCTAATTGTTAAAGCTCCTGACAATCCTTTCGGTTTTTAATGCCTAATTTACACAGTGCTGGTTCCTGGAGCAGCTCATTTGTTTTATGTCAGCAGCTCTGACATGTCATCTTGCCGTTGAATTGCAGTTAAGTGTTTCCTTATTCGCCATGTCGGGCGCCAATTAAATGAAACACCATTTCTCGTGCAATGGGTTTAAATCGCCTTGCGTACTCGCACCCAAAAATTGTGGCTATTAAGCATTATAGATAGCGTACGACTTTCTTTCCGTTCTTATTTGTTGACTAAAATCTGGATGGGGTAGCCTTCAGATATATCCGATCTCTCTCCATTTGACCGCCACGCTATACAGTTTTGATTCTCTTATCGCAAGAGCGTTTAATGGCGGCACGTACCGATGTTCTATTCTTTTTCGTTGGACACGGAACGGTGATTCGATACAATTTGTACATATTATGCGATCGCAGTGGACAAGATTTAATGACTACTACATTCACCAATATATATTAAGAAGACGCAGATGAGGACACAGGTGTTTCCTTGTGCGTCCCTGTCGTTTAAAGGTCAAATGCCCAACGTTCAGCAATAGGATCAGCTACACATTGATACTCTAATCATCGTATCATCGGATATAAATAGAGCAGTCAAAGTCGTATTGGCTAAGCTTCCATTCTAATACAAAAACAGCTAAGACTGACCGTTGCTTTGTGTATCTAGAACCATGTATTCAAAATCCGGGAAACATCAGAAGCATCGAAACCTGCATGGACGGGCATTATATACAGGCTGAGGGGCTGTCGAATCGGGAGGCATGATGAAAGAGAACTTGATATGTTCAATGCCCTTCACTTAAGCCTTTCGTCGATGTAGATTCGCGGATCCACTAGAGACGGCAGATGCAACAGAAGACATGTCAACTTCCACCTCAGTCTGCGGTTGCTGGCCGGGTTCGAAACGCTTGCGAACGGCCTTGATCATCATGATGAACCAATAAAAGTTCAGGCCATTGAGAGTAAGGTTGCTTGCCAGGTAAACAGCCCCAAGCCACGGCGGTATGGTGGAGACATCGGTTGCAAACTGCATGGTCATCAAATGTAGTGATGAGGGAGAAGGGTGCCCGTTTATTGCGCTCCAGATATCCCGGAATACCATGACTGACTGGTATGTACCGTATATCAACCGACATGAGAAGAAGCTAGATAAGAGGAGAAATCCGTTGTATAGTTGAGCCTTCGATCCCGTCATGCCAAGCTTGTCCATGAACCAGTGAATGTTTAGAAAGGGTGTCGACAGCTCCCAAAGAATGAAAATGCATCCATAATAGTTAACAAATGGCCGCTGTGGAAAGTTAGCAAGTCCATCATCCTCAAAAACTTACTTTGCGTTTCTGTCATTAGAGATGAGTCGGGGGTATTGCCTTACAAAACCAAGGGAGAAGACGAGCAAAGCCGCAATCGCATGTGCCAGAGTCCCAAGTCCAAATACATCCAGGTTCATGCTGGTGACGATGAGGTCCCATACAAAATACCCTGCGGCTAGAGCCTGAATCATGCTTGTCGCCCCTGTATACCCCCATATACGCTCTTCCCATGACATTTCCCTCCTCTCATCATCTGCGATCATGACCCAGATTGCCAGACCATTGATCAGTGTGGCTTGGATCATCGATACGACATGTGCATCCCAGTTCAGGCGTCTCTTCCGAGGCATTGTTCTGTAGTACTTTGGTGCTAGAATCTGAGATACAATTGGCGAAATCGGGTAGAAAATAACGGAGTAGAACAATGCGCCGAGGATAATTTCGTGTATGTGCAAGGACAATGTTGGCAGACTCAGCCAGTCGCACCAGGGCTGTACCATTTTAACCAACCATGGCAGTGGTTCGATGAAGAATGGGTCCTTCATGTTATAATGATTGTCTCCGGGCCTCCTCCACGCTCACTGATTCCTTTTGTCTTGGCTATATACGGGTGCTGCTCTTGAGCGCGGTTGGAACGGGCTTCCGATGCGTTGAGCAGGTACCAAATAGACGACAATATGGGAGTTTTGGCGATAATAGTTGGGTGCCTGGGTAGCTATGCTTCGGTAGTGGTATGTCACCAGGCAGGACGATAGGGGATGGATGTGTGCAAGTTTGCTCTTCGTAATATCGCCTTGCCTGGCAATATATATTGGTCCGCGTCTTGGGCCTGTTAGGCTTACTAGCCATCAAATCAGTATACGTCTAGTCCCACGTAAGGTGCTGCGGGTCCGGTGGCAGTGGGTTCAGGGTGCTGTCCGGGCCAGATTTGTTGGGGAAGTCCTGCACGTGAGGTCTCCGCCTGGCTGTGTCATGGGTTATGAATCGATACTTCCAGCTGTCCAAGATCCCGAGACTCCACAGTGCACGGAACTCTGGTGACAAACAAAACATCAGAAAGCCTCGGCGTTGACGTTGCTGCTTCAATGTTGGCTTCGATTACGTCTCGTCAAGCAATGAGTCTGCCGCTTTCACACACATTCCACCTTACTTTTTCCTTATATGCTCGGATGGTGGTCCTTCGTGGTTGTTCGTTATCTTCAGTTGTCACTACATGGTCAACTAGTGCGCCCCGGGATCACGAACTGGTGTTTGGGCGGGATGTCTGGTGCTGCTGGTACACGATCTGACTTTTCTGTGAGGCCGGGTGCTGTCTTTGTCGTGGCATATGCCTCGCTGTGGCGCGCTAAGTGTAACAATATACGTATTTCCTCTGGTGTCGTGACCACCAGTACTGCTCCTTTCGGTGTCGACTCGCGCCTGGTAGAGAGAGCATGTCGGAGCGAATAAGCAGGTCTGGTCAGGTTGATGCCACTATGTCCGTGTGATGCCGAGGCGGGATGCAGAACGCTCCTTGAGCCATCGAGGACTGAGCATAGTATATTGGCCCAGGTGCTTGTGGCTCTGTGCTTACTCGGACCTTATTCAATAGGTACTTTAACCAACCCTTTTTGTGTCTTGCCTCCAAGCTCCTTACATGCCTACTTGATCTTGGTACCTGGGTAGGTAGCTGTTCCTGCGCCGTGTGTTCCCCTTTTCTTACGACGGTGGACACGCAAAACTTCCGCTTGTCGTAATAGAAGCACTGTTATCGAGGCAGGGAGTCTAGCATAACGAAAGACATGCGAGGAGGGCTATGGACGAGGGCAGATAGATGACCAACAAAGAAGGCTGGCGAAGGGAAGTAATGACCAGGGCAGCAATAGCAATGCGAAAACACAGGAACACAGCTGAAAAACATGACTGTGATATAGGGTAGGTGGAGGCTGTGACGGACATATATCCGCTGATTGGGAGGAAATTGCGGTCCACTTGCGTCCACCAAACTTGATCTGTTGTTCATTCACCGGTGTAGCCAACCACACACTTCAAAACCAAATACCGGTACATGTTGACTGAAAATACATAGCCTGATATTACAGACTCGGGAAAAGGCCGCCTTTATATTAAATAAGCCGTGGCTGCACTTGAACACCACTAGCTGGCTGCGTGTACAGGCAGCTGCGAGACAATAAACCAGGCAAGTGATATGGTTCCAGCGCTCGGCACTTAATTCTGAGATAGACACACACACACACACACACACACACACATACAAAGACAATTCGACCTGAGCCACGGCGCTAAAAAGGCAGCACCTGTTGCCTGCATGCCACAGCCAACTCATTCAACATGGCAGAGGCCTTGAGCGATCGTCTCCTGGGACAGGGAAAAGCACTTGATGCGACCGTATTGTCTTATCTGACCTACCTGGCGGGACAATCAGTCGAGTCCATACGAACCACAGAACCACAACAACTCTCACAAGCGTCAAATTCGTTGCTACTATCCGTGCAATCATTGTCCAAAAAATCACATAGGCCCATTGTCGAATCAGCCGCTAGTCACTCAGCGCTACGCCAGCTATTTGCCCTACTGGCCAAAAGAACAGGCGAACTGACGCATACAGTTCCAAGGCTTGATCAGGAGGCAGAACTATTCTCTTCCGAGTTTGGCAAAGCCAGCGAGAACAGCAGCATCACAGAGCGGAAGAAGGCACTCCGTCTCCTACAGAATGGGGAGAGACTAGTCGATATGATGGAGCTCCCACAGCTTCTCAACTCTGCTGTCACATCCAGCCCGGTCAGTTACTCGTCTAGTCTCGACCTGTATGCACATGTTCGTCGCCTTGCATCCCTATACCCATCCTCGCCTCTTGTCGCATCGGTGCTGGACGAGGCAAATTCAGCCATTAGGCGAATGGCAGTCGACCTAATAGCTACGTTACAAACACCCAATCTCAAACTCGCTCCAAGCCTCCGTACGATGGGCTGGCTCAAACGAATTGTCCCCGAGCTTGTTACCAATATCCAAACAGAGGAATCCCTGCCTGCGATATTCCTCGTGTGTCGACTTAGCACACTGATTGCCACCCTAGACGCACTGGACCCTCTAAAACAACTGGCAGATGAGGAGCGCATACGAGACGTCAAGATATCTCAAGCATGGTCCGGGGGCCAGCACACCGAGCGGTATCTCAAGCGTTTCATAGAAGTATTTCGCGAACACAGTTTCGGCATGATATCGGTTTCCAAAAGCGTGGATTCCAGTTTTTCCCATTCTGATAGCGCAGCAACCGACCCGATGAATCCTCTGCCAAGTGTCCTTACTAGCTTTCCGTTGCACCTGATAGGTCTTCTGATGGACACCTTACAAACGTACCTACCCGTCATCAAAGACCAAGCCTCAAGAGAAAGCATTATGACACAAGTTTTGTATTGTGCTGGAAGTTTGGGTCGGCTAGGCGCGGACTTTGGTATGTTTCTGTCAGCTATCGGAATGGCGGAATGGGTAGAGCTGGTTAAACGACACAGGCTGTTAGCAGGCCGACTTGAGTCCGTCATTGGCGAACATCGGACCAGCCAGACTACTCCCACCAGTTTGGTTATTAGAGATATGCATTAAATGGTATTTAGGTTGACCGGTCAAGTATTGATGTTCACGCGTGGCCCCTGTTTTTGGTTAGAGCGATAAAGCACAAGCGGACTTTTCATACATCTACGGAGAAATTTAAGTTATTTTGTTTTTGAACTTCTCCCTGGAGCTTTCTCCCTAGAGCTTCTAAAAGTTGAGCCCTATAACGTGGTGCTGTTGCCAGGCTACCTATCTAGTACCTAATTTACCTAGTACTAAGTACCTACTGGATAAGTAGATATTAAGTACCTTTTCAATGCAGGGGTACCGCACTTCTCACGTAAGCCTGTGGTTGATTTGGCCGCGGCTCCATCCGCCTGCGTACTCCACGTGCTCTCATCACAGAGCAGCAAGTTCTTTGCCAGACGTATCCATCCAGTGATCTTGTGTGTAGAGCCTACAACACAATGGGAAATTCCTTTTCAGTGAAATGAAAAACAATAACACGCCTGTGCGAGCTAAATCAGGTACGAAAACAATGGCATCATAGGGATAACGTGAGCTGCCAAAACTTACAAATCGACTGTAGCGCAACACTTCGTTTCTGGGCTTGGTTCTGGCATAGCATCTGCGGTTATACTGCAGCCCCTAGACCTGCTTAAAACTCGAGTACAACAGTCTGGTACCTCATCTCTTTCCACCTGTTGGCAAGATATACGCCACTCTCCCCACGTTGCACGCAGTCTCTGGCGAGGAACTGTACCTTCCGCCCTCCGAACTGGGTTTGGATCGGCTTTGTATTTTACTTCCCTCAATGCGATACGCCAACACATACAGCAAACAAATATCCTGGGACGGCACCACAATAAACATAATGCTTCCTCGGCACTCCCTACTCTTACTATTTGGGCGAATCTAGCCTCTGGCGCCGTAGCCAGGACATTTGCAGGCCTTGTTCTCATGCCCCTGACCGTCATCAAGGTTCGATTCGAGTCCAACCTTTACTCTTACACATCGGTTGTCTCCGCCGCTGCTGATATCCGGCGTCGAGACGGGTTTCGGGGCTTTTTCTCGGGGTTTGGAGCTACGGCCATCCGAGATGCGCCTTACGCGGGAATGTACGTGTTGTTTTATGAAGTGCTCAAGACCGAACTCGGCTCGATAGCCGCGTCTACAATTCGTGTTGAAGGTAAACAACACAAGATGACGGCATCTATGGCAAGTACTATTAATTTCGCATCCGGAATCCTAGCTGGCGCCGCTTGTTCTGTTATATCAAATCCTTTTGACGCAGTTAAGACCAGGATCCAGCTGCAACCACGGCTATACAGGAATGTGTGGCAGGCAGGTTATAAAATGATCACCGAAGATGGCCTGCGATCTCTTTTAGATGGGCTGGCATTGAGAATGAGCCGCAAAGCGCTCAGTTCCGCATTGGCCTGGACGGTGTATGAAGAGCTCATTCGTAGGTTTGGTGCGTCATGAATGTCTAATAGAAAATGCATCCTATGGAGGTAAAACAACCCAACTCAGCGTCTATATATGTGTGTGCGCGCGCGCGTGTGTTTGTGTAAATAGAGCAACTCTGAATGGTAGGCTAGCTAATGAAATATCTCTAAAGGGAGGAGCAGAGAGAGATAAGGAAGACAAGGAACGAAGCAGGCTCGGGGCGATCAATACGATTCATTTAAATTAAGAGAAATGACAAAACAAAGATAAGCATAACTTCTATGGAATACTTGTGAACGGCTGCCCACTAGAGAACTTGACACACATTTCGAACGAAAGAGAAACGAAAAAAAAGGGTTGTTGTTGGGGGGAGGGATAGCGGGGAAAGACAAAAACAAAAAGACAGAAACGCCAAAGCGAGAGTCAAACGGAAGCCCTTTCTTGCTACTCATTCTTGCTATTCCCCTCTTAGGCAGGCTTGGCTCCAGCCAGATACATCAGAAGACCACCAGGAGACTTGCTCCTTTTACGATCACTCTTCTTGCGAACCCACTCAAACTGAGGTTCGTGCCGGTGTGTCTTTTTCTCCTCAATCAACAGAGTGCTACTCCGTTTCTCACGGATGTATTTCGTGTGCCGCCAGAATTGATCTTGTTCCCACTCTGGAACCCACCGCTTAATCAGAATATACTCGGGGTCCTTGTTTATCCCAAATTAGAAACAAATCAAAATCCTGCAAAAACGATCGGAGAATAATTACTCACATTGTCAATGTCGAAATCGATATGGAAGGTCCTTAGAGTCTCGATGGACAAATGCCTACGGGCCATTCGAGTATAGGTGGGCCTATGGCCTCGCTCAGGTGCATTAGATACCTTTTTCTTTTCAAGAATGGCCGAAATGGCCTTCTCGTCTAGGCCAGATTTCAACAAGTCTTCCTGCATGCGACGCTTGTATTCCTTTTCTTCCTGTTCCTTGCGTAATTTTTCCGCAGCCATTCGATCCGCCTCGAGTTTCTTGTAGCGTTCTACTGCCTCGGCAGCCTCCTTGTGGCGGCGCTTCTTTTCTTCCGCCTCCTCCTCCTCCTCTTTCAGCCGTTTCAGCTCCAGCTCTCTCTTGATGCGCTTCTCCTCCTCGGCCCGGGCCTCACGCTGTTTAATCTCGTCCAGTTCCATCTTGGCACGTTTCAGCTCGGCCTCATCTCTAGCCTCTTTTGTTAAGCGGCGTTCCTCCCTATCCCGCGAATTCTCAAGGCGGAGTCGTTCAAGTTCACGACGAGCAAGTTCAGCCTCCCATTCCTCTCTAGTAAGGCGTGACCTCGACCTCGACCTCGACCTCGACCTCGAATCGGAGCTGCGACGACGATAAACGACTTGCCGACGTCGTCGATAGTCGTCATCATCATCTGAGGAGTGCTCACCGTAGAACCGGTTATTGATAATCACTGGCTGGGCTGGGGCTGGCACAGGGCTGGGCGGGCTGGCTCTTCGATCACGGGATCTGTCGTGGGAACGAGAACGCGCAACGACGGTCGTGTGCTGTTCCGGGACTAGATAGCTAGGTCCAGCAGGTACACCATAATAATTTCGTGGTCGCTCGACATATCTAACAGGCCGAGGAGAGTGGCCATGGTGACGGATGCGAACATCCACATCCTCGTCGTCAGAATAGTAACTCATAGTCAATTACCACGACGTTATATAATCCACACGATGGAGAGGATCGTCTTTAAATAATGCTGAATATTGGAATCGTCGCCAGTTAAATTCATGCGGGGATTCTCGAAGAAAAAGTGCGAGCGAAATGCAGACAAGGTGGAAAATCTGGGACCAAATTCACCTAGTTATCTACCTAGGTATGTACATATGTAAGACGCATGAGAGGGTTGAGGGGGAAGTGAAGGCCCAGGACATTTCTCTCGTAGGGCTGGAGCGGGGGCGGCGGCGGGCGCAACCATGGCTAGGGGTGGTTGTCTTTTCTCAGCTCAGTTCAGGCGGCTGTAGGCGCGGGATGATTGGCTAGCCCGAGGTTGCTGAATTTGCACACTTAGGGTCAGCGAGCTTCGGCGACACGCAAACGGATTCTTAAATGGCTCTCCTTCGTACTGGAGGCATTGCACGAGCCGTCATCGTAAAATGGCTGGCTCAAACTTGTCCACAATTCACACGAGCGGAAGGCCCAGGGCAACCGCTCACTCACTACCTAGGTAGGTACATAAGAACCTTGTCTGTCCACCCCTCAAAGGCTCTCTCTAACAGGTATCCCAATACCTACCTAGGTATCTAGGTAGATAAATCTCAAGTGCTCAAGTAGCAACAGGCTGCGCTTCTTGTTGAGCGGCAAAGACAATAACAAACGACGTGGCGCGTGTTCGGTCGCGGATAAGCAAGTTCCAGCTGACGTAAGGTCATCGTCCTGGTTCAAAGTTTGATGTGCCGTTTGTCCATACTTGCAGGTTGCTCTGCAAGCTTGGCCACGCAAGGCAGCTGAACCATAGCTTCAGCGACCGCGGAGCATCTGTTCAATGTGCTCGCGGCTGTTTTTGTGCGTGGTTTCAAGATATAGAAGACGTTGGTTAAGCTTGTCCACGTCAGAATCTAAATCCTGCGTTTGACCCTCCAGCTTCCGTCGTAAAACTGGAAGGGGAAGTGACGCAAACCTGAAGAAGGATTGGGATTCTTGTTAGTGATCGAAATATTACCGCAGTGTATGTAAATCAAAATGCTTGAGCTCACATCTTGCCGACGCCTTCGTAAACTACCGCCTCCTCCGGAAGGCTCGCCAATTCGCTAAGGGTTAGGCTAACCAAGCGTTGCTCGCGCTGCTTTGCAGCCATTTGAGTTCGTGCCAGGCCAATTTGTTGTTGTGCAGCCACTGCCTGGGTCTCGATTTCGCGAGCAAGCTGGAAAATGTTAATCAACACTGTCGCTTGCTCAAGCCGAAAGCAAGATTATGCAGCTTGGTGCACGCATGTACCTTGTGAAGAGCCTCATTCGAAATGGACATGATGTTGGTAGGTAGAAATTAGTAGTCCGTAGATGGACCTGAGAAGGCAAATCCGGAAACGCGTAAGCCTGAACAGAATAGAGAAGCTTGAATTTTGCCACCTTTGTTGACGGAATCGAATGACGAGGTTGGAGGATTAACGGGTGTACCTGGCACCGGTCCGAGTCTGCGAACGAACTCGCCACAGCTAGGGGGATGGATGTAAGTGGCTTTACTCCGTACTTTCAGCCGCGATTTTCGGCGGGCGCCTCGATGCTGCCAACCGCTCGTCCAACCAGTCGCCATTTTAGGTGGTGACCCGACTATATCTTTGGCTAAGGGGTTTTACATATAGTATTTAGCTAGAAGAGGAATTCTCGTCTATATTAAAAATAAACCTTGACATATAGAACCCAGGCCATTTTCACCTGAGCCAAGGTTTGGTTGCGCGTGTCGCCCAGGCGTTAAGCCCCCTGTAGGCTTGGAAAAAGCATCCCAGCTACAAGAACCCGTAGCGCTGGAAACTGGAAGCCATATATCATCCATTAATGGTGCTTTGCCTTACCTTGAACCTTTCGTATCTCCGGGATGGATGCGAGGAGCCTTGGCCAGTATAGAGTGTACCTCTGGCTTTGTTCCAGGAGGCAGTGACGCAGCCAAATGCCCCAAACAATATAGTAATAGGCTAGAGAGGAAACGAAACTCCCCTGTTAATGAGGAGGTATCTTCAAAGTGCTATGATATCTGAAAGGGTAGATTTGCATGTGACTCGTATTACCTCCTACACACTGATTATTAGCCTGCTTTTCCCACATCATATTTGTATAAGAAACTAAAGAGCCTGGTGACCATACCTAGGCCCGTCATCAAGTGCCACCAGCCATGACCTTCTAGAAGAATGGCCCACGGCAAACCGATTTGCCGTCGCCACCCGCGTAGTTGCGAGCAGAATATGTTATCAAGGTTCCAAATGGCATAGCCAGTGAGGAACACAGTAAGGCCTGGTGTAGGATCTGCGCTTAGCAAAATTACACGTCTCTCTTACGAAAGCCGCGTATCTCACCCGTAGCGACCAATGCCCACATGGTCTTGAGTATATACCGAGCTCTGGCCCCATCTTCTGCTTGCAACGGGGGCCGCACTTGTACTTCCATAACCCATATACTGCGAATCAAAACAGTAGCGGTCAGAACCGCATAGGCAGCTTGGTGAAACGCGGGATCTTTTGTGGCATGATAATACAGCTAGGAACATCATTAGTAGGAGGATATCTTCCGTCGTTCCGGAAAACAAGCTCACCCACCGTGATGAACACGGCCAATGTTGTCAGGTCAACCCCCAACTTGACAGCAAAGACCCGGGATCTTGAGACTGCGAAACTCGCATAAATCATTAAACAAGTCGTATATATCATCATACCAAGCTCATCCACGAGTTGCACCAGATCTATGTATCATCTCATTAGCGTTTCCCATCGTTGCCCCTGCAGTGTAGGAGAAGAGCGATGTTCATTCAAGCATATAAGCTGGCAGATAAAGTCATGTTTTGGTACTCACATTACAAAGCTCAGCACAATAGAAGGATAATACGTAGTCCTTGGAATATTAGTATTGCATATCAAGAGACTGCCTCTTAGGAACACATACTTCTTCACAGAAGTTCAGTGTTGACGTTTGCTCGCCCCAGAAGCCATGTCCTGCCTCCGGATATGGCACACTCCAATCTTTAAAGAAACTCATCACAGAAGACGCCATCGTTGTGAACACTGGACCAGATGGCTGCAGATGCAATTATATACTTAGTAACTACTAATACGCCTGCGTTTTATTTTGTGGCGTCAACGTCGCCACGCGGTATTTCTTGCGTGTTCCTTTCCCTCTCTGCCTCTTTTTTATTTATTTTTTATTTAGCTATTTATTTATATTGTTAAAAATATTTTTCCTCACTTTTTTATTTTAACGAGCTAGCCTTTTTTCCTTTTCATTTTCACGACATAAAGTGTTTTTTTCTAAGAAAAAAAAAAAGTCTTTAAGCCCATACATTCAGTGATGAATTTTTTTTTTAAAAAAAGCTATTATAGGGCTCTCTAGAGACTGTGCTCGCAGTGCAAAGTGCAAAAGACAGTGCACTCTTTAGCACTAAAAAAGCGATTTTTTAAATTAAAAACCCTACAACGTGTTATGTACCGGCGGGGATTTTATTTAATTATTATTTTTTTTTAAAAAAAGAATGATTCTTTTTTTAATATTTCGCACTCATTAGCATCCGCACATATCTTTAGTCCGCCAGTGCCTAAAATTTTTTTAGTCCCATCACGATTATTATTTAATTCGTATACGCATGATTTTAAAAAACACAATAAAAACAACACCCCCTGCTCTGGACCGAAAGCATCCGTAGCGAGCTTGTCGGCTTCGGCTTCGATTCAGACTTCGGCTTGAACTTTTCGGTTTCGGCCTCGGACACATGGCGGCATCGGGCGCTGACGGCCAACTTCAAGCCGTCGTGGCTGCCCCGAAGGGCGTAATCAAGTGGGCCATGAACACTATGACATCCCACAAATGTTCTTTAATAGCACGGTGAAGATGAGTCAACTGGGGGCAGTTGATTGACAATTAAGCCGAAGTTGTCATCAACTACGCCTGAGCTCGGCTTCATACATACACATATAAATGCTCATAGAAATTCTCGTCGATGTAGCCGTGAAGGAAACTGAAAACACACTCGATAGCATCGTGAACTCGGCTTTCAACCAACCAATTAACCTGCAATAAACATTATGCCTGCAAACAAGACCCAAGCTTCCCAAGTGGCTCTTCGCGCCATACCATCTGAGGCTACGCTTGTCGACGTCTCCCAGTCTCAAGGTAAAAAGAAAGAAAGACAGAAACAACAATATCCTGACTAAATTTTTAAAATATAAAAAGAGTCAGCCACTAACAATCTCCTGTACTCTAGATACTAGCAAAGCCAACTCCATACCTAGCGACTTCAAGACAGCATTTAGGTCAACTGGTTCATGGAGTAAAAAGGACCCGTACTATGTGTCGTGGGAAGCGCGAGTTTGTAAGTGACTCCCGACTACCACCTGATCAAGTACAAGTGCTAATCTGACTAAATGACAGTTGCCGCGGTTAATAAGTAACAATGAGGGTCTTTCTTTGTAAAAGAGAGAGGAGATCCTAAGACATCTAAGTTTTATGAGCACAAATCAGGTCAGATAGATTCAATGTAACGTTAATTTATATGTTTTAAAACAGGAGCCTTAATATGTGGTTTTCGTTTTGCGTATTCACTTATCCGAGTATGCGTCCAGCTAGGGCCACCATGCGATGCCTTAACAAAATTTCCGTACTGTTCAGGCCCCCCACTCCCATCTGATGCGGCGCTTTCCCAATAGCGCTGCTGATAAGATAAGATGAGCTGCGCTAGCCTAAAGGGGACGAAAAAAAAAAGTGTGAGAGGGAGGCGTCGCTGAGGACGGCTCCGACAATCGAAAAAAAAAAGATACACACCAAAGAGGTCCCGAGAGGGGGACAGCAACAGAACTCTCCCTTGCTTCACATAATTTTCATTCACATAATTTTCATTGCATTGGTTAGATCATAAAGTCACTTGGTTCTTAGAACATATCCGCAGCATTCAATGGCTTCTCTTCGTGAAATCCGCAAGAGGAAAGACCTCGACATACCCGATGACACGTCCGATCTAGAGTTTGATGGATGTACGCTGGACGGAGTCTTGTCGCAGAGCGAGAATGAGTCAGAGGACGAAAGCACCGAATTTGAAGATTTCGACTCAGATCCGGATGAAAGCCAGAGTGATCTCGACAGCAACTCTGTCGACAACGAGCCCAAAACAGTTGACGCTACGCTGGACTCAGAGGCGGAAGGTGGCGGGGAGGGATCTTCTTACCGTATCGTGACTGATGCTAACGGCGGGGAGCGCTACGAATATGATGAAGTCGACCCCGTCTACGATAGCGATGACACGGACGCCCAAGGCCTAGCGAACACCATCGGCAACATTCCATTGTCCTTCTACGACTCGTATCCCCACATTGGATATGATATCAATGGGAAGAAGATTATGCGTCCTGCCACTGGAGAGGCTCTTGACGCTTTGCTAGACAGTATAGAACTTCCGAAGGGTTGGACAGGCTTGACGGATCCTGAGACGGGCAAACCGTTGAATCTAAGCCAGGATGAATTGGAACTCTTGCGTCGGCTGCAGTTGGGCGAGGTTCCAGAAGAAGGCCATGACCGTTACCCAGTAAGTTTCTATGGTCCAAGCATATCGTGCTCCAAAGACTGACAAGGGGATGGAGGACATGATCCCGTATTTCACTAGCATCGAAGAGCAAATGCCCATCAGTGCGGCTCCCGAACCCAAAAGAAGATTCATCCCTTCCAAACATGAAGCAAAGCGAGTTGGTCAGCTTGTCCGAGCTATCAAAGATGGTCGAATTCTCCCGTATAAGCCGTCAGAGGCTAAAGCGGAAGAGGGGGAGAGGGAGGAAGAAGGGTCGTATTACGATATCTGGGCCAACGAGGAGCCCAGAGACCACCACGTTATGAACATACCTGCACCGAAACTCTCCCCACCTGGATATGATTTAAGCTACAATCCACCACAGGAATATTTGCCCACGGCAGAGGAGAGAAAAGCATGGGAAGACGCAGATCCCGAGGAAAGAGAAAAGGAGTATCTTCCCGCAAGATTCGAATCCTTGCGAAAAGTTCCTGGTTATACCGAGTTAGTTAAGGAGCGGTTTGAACGGTGTCTAGACCTTTATTTGGCGCCAAGAGTTCGCAAGAACAGGTTGAATATCGACCCCAATTCATTGCTTCCCAAACTGCCCCGACCAGAAGAGCTTAAACCTTTCCCAACAATGTGCCAAACTATCTTCAATGGCCACGAAGGCCGTGTGCGTTCGGTGGCCTTTAGCCCGGATGGAGAATGGCTTGCATCGGGTGGTGATGACGGCACTGTGCGTCTCTGGGCTATTAATGGCCACCAAGAGTGGATGGCGAGACTGAGTTCTGAGGATGCGGTCGACTGTATTCGGTGGCGTCCAAACAGGGAGACTTTCATTCTCGCCGCTGCAGCAGGAGAGAGCTTGTTTTTCGTCGTGCCACCTGTCTGCAGCAATGCCATGGAGCAGGCAAGTCGGGCGGTTCTTGATGCAGGTTTTGGGTACGCGGCACCCTCCAAACCTGGTTCTGGAGTTGACGGCGGGGCCAAGGAATTTTCTGCAAAATGGTCAAGGCCCGGCTCTAAACTCGAAGACGCGGGTGTCTTGCTCAAGGCTACTGTCAGAGCAGCAATTAAAACGCTGAACTGGCATAGGCGTGGCGACTTTCTCTGTTCCGTCTCTCCAACCGGACAAAGAAGCTCCGTGGCTATCCACACCCTCTCACGACATTTGAGCCAGATTCCCTTTCGTCGACTGCCTGGGCTTGCGCAAACTGCTCAATTCCATCCCTCGCGACCCTTATTTTTTGTCGCGACTCAGAGGATGATCCGGTGCTATGACCTTCAGAAGCAGGAACTTGTGAAAATTGTACAACCTGGAGCCCGGTGGATATCTTCATTTGACATACATTCTGGAGGCGATAACCTCATTGTGGGTTCGTATGACCGCAGGCTGCTGTGGCATGATTTGGATCTCTCAAGTCGGCCATACAAAACGATGAGGTTTCACAGCGAAGCAATTCGTGCGGTAAAGTATCACCGGAATTTGCCGCTGTTTGCAGACGCTAGTGATGACGGGACTCTTCAGATCTTCCATGGTAAGGTGGTCAGCGATCTAATGGAAAATGCGACCATTGTTCCGGTCAAAATGCTGAAGGGTCACGCAGTCGTTAGCAAGCTGGGCGTAATGGATGTTGACTGGCACCCACGGCATCCGTGGTGCCTCAGCGCCGGAGCAGATGGCACATGTAGATTATGGACGTGATTGGATTAAGAATTCCGTCAGCAAAGTACCGTCGTCCATCGGAGTGATAGGAAAAGGAGAATAGCATACTAGGAAATTGACCATCTAATCGGCATGATGCTTTCATCTCGTCACTATCTGTCGCTGTCGAAATGCGATATTATCCACACTATGATAAAGAGTCTTTTTTTCTTTCTCAAATTTGGAACGTAGAATTTGCGTCAGAGTAATAATAAGCCGATATATACCAGAGCTGTGGCACTGTGCTTCAAAAAAATCTGAACCAGTCATCGATCAATCTTGCACAGTCCGTCCCGCGCAACATTCATGATGTACTGATAAACACCCCAAGTCCGCAAGTCCACACTGTCATTGCAACCGCCGAGCCGATGCCTTCTCACAATTCCTCTTTCGTGTCCCTTACTTTTTCCTGCGCTGCTTCGCTCCCAAGTCTTAGCTGGTCCAGTGTCCATCTCCACCCTTGGGCTGCAGCATCTCCTATCTTTGCCAACACAGTACCGGACGGCGACGATGTACCAAACTTAAAATACGTGGACTGTTGACGAGCCAACGCTCTAAGCTCTTCCAGCTTAGAACCTTGTGGCACCGGGACACCATAATTGTCTAGATATGCCTTCAGCTCTGAGCGAGTCCATGAGTCAAATGCCGTCTTCTCAACAGACGCCGTAGCCGACGAGAGATAGCTGGTAACCGACGCAAACTGGCTTCCACCGGCCGAGGAGGCTGATGAATAGGCAGAGACTGCAGCGCTGATAAGTTCCTCTCGGGAAGCATCTTTCTTCTTAGCAGCCTGTTTGGCGATAGAATCACCATTCCTCACCAGATATTCCTTTAGGTTCGAGTAACTGAAGTCGTCGAATGACCACGCCTGCCAACCCGAGGCCGCTTTGCGGGAATACTTTCGAACAAGAGCTCGTAAATGGTCTACATCAGAACTCTGAGGTACAGGAACCCCACGGGCATCCAGGTACGCCTTCAGACGGCTCTCCGACCACTTCGACGTGGCTTGGTTAAACGCGTCTTCAGCTGCAAGGGAGGCACCATCAGTGGCTCGGGCGTACTCGTTTCGCGCATTGGAAGTGGCAGCCCCGAACCCGGAACTCGCCTTTGCTTGAACGTTGTCCCCTAGAATATCAGCTCGGTGTTTGCGAACTAGGGCACGAAGCTCGTTCTCCTTTGTGCCTTGCGGAACGCGGATGTTGTTCCTGTCACAAAATTCCTTTAATTGAGATTCACCCCAAGCATCGATTATCATGTCTGTCAGGTTGGCGTAAGCTGCTCGTGCACTCGCCCTCGCACTCGCAGCCTCCTGCTGGGCTTTCAAGTATGCCAACCTAGAATTTCGGCGGGCGGCAGCGACAAGTTTGTCGCGGGTCGAAGGCTGCGGAACTGGAATACCGTACTTGTCAAGCCATGCCTTGAGGTCGGACTCACCCCAGGTTTGGTAGAGCCAGTCACCAGGGTACGCGGCGGTTTCGCCCATCTTCTTAGCCACAACCTCGTACCCAAGCCTAGCCTTCTGCAGAAGAGTATCCCTGTGTCGCGGCTGCGGCACTTTAAAGTCATCACACAAGCGTTAGTGAAAGAAATATACCCAAGGTGTTACGAAGATAGGTGAGTGGCAGGCGGAAAACCTCCTGGCCATTCGAATCTGGATATTCATGGCGTCCTTACCTGGAATTCCGTGCTCATCGCAGAACGCCTTCAGTTGACTCTCTGACCAAGTATCTAGAATCCATTCCTTGGTATTGGTCCACGACTGTCGCGCGGCCTCTTCGGATTCGTACCAGTTTGATTTGACTTGCGAAATTAAGCTGTCCTTGGATTCCTCAGTGGCCGTCTGAAAGTCTTGTCCCCTTTCGCGTAAATAGGAAATTAATTGGGCAGTATCCCAGCTACGATATGGTTGCACAATGATGTTATTCCAGTGTCGTTGAACCAGTGTCTCCAAATCTTTTCGGTCTGATGCTTTTGGATAGGGAATATCATTGTCAGACAGCCAACGCTCGAGCTCTGTCTGATGCCATTTATTATATACTGCAACACCAAGGCAAGATATCAGTCCTTTAGATTCTGCGTAAAAGCATGGGATGGTATATTGTACAATGGGGGGCCCAGTTCATTCGGAGTACGTAGGTGCAAGCAAACATACCTGCTTTGGTACCTGGAAACCAGCTGCTTGCAGCGGCTCCAGACACGGCCAAGCCAGTCGTGAGGAGAACCCTGAGAAACCTCATTGTATCGACTTTGAGTTGTGTAGGAATGGGATTAAAATAGAGGTGCTAGCCGTTTGTCCCGTAGTAATCCAGAAGAAGCAGATGGTTTCGTGTATAAGTGCAAATGGCAGAGTTGAACCAAGCCGTAGTAGGGTTATGAAGCCACTGCCAGCTGCCGGCTTATATGAGGGGGGAGAAACGCCTGCAGCAAGAAAGCATAGTTCTATTGCCCTTGTGCACTGAATGACGACGTGGGGTGTTCCAGTGGGTGTAATAAGCTAGAGCCAAAAGCCATTGATGAGCAGGGTTGGCGTATCCATCACGTCACTACTCTTCGCCTCTGATCTACATGCCGAATGCACAATTTCTATCTGTGCCTTGAACAGTAGCAGGTGGCAGGCAATACTTGCCGATTAAAATCGCTGCTACGTCAACGGTTCAACGGGCGATGCAGGAGCACATGCTGAACTAAAACTACCACAACGGCCTTTAAGATAGAGGCAATTTATTTTCCCTTTCCTCTCTGCGTGAGTTGAACAACACGCAGAATTAATGCCGACCTTTTCGCCCGAAACTGATAAATTGGCCTGTCAATCAACTGGGTCAAGCTCCCGCCACAGTGACGTAGTAGACTTTGAGCTCCACCCGATCCCTCCAGCCAAAGGCGTGGCGGCCAATGTCTGCGGTGGCATCCCAAGTACTAGTACGGAGTACATATGCATATTGAGATCATCGGAGGTGTGTGAGTCGGAAACTTGGCGCTTAGAGCGAGCCCTCTAGCTCAATCTATGCTTCATGGGAATCGTACAGGAAAATTGTCTAATTACTACGTAATCCAAAATCCTCCGGATGGATGTGTATGTCCAAGATGTATACAGTCGGTATTCTATGGACACAAGCCCAGCAGAACGAATACACAGTTAATGTTGTAGTGTCCGTACATGGAAATATTTTCTATATAGTCTTCTGGATGCGCTGCCATCATGCAGTCGCAGTAGTACTAGTGATACAAGATACCCAACAACACATCCGCCCTCACCGTCTACTTATATTATGGCATCCATCTTACGACCTTGGCGTGGTTTCCGAGAGACCGACGTGCCATTCCCTGGTGTGAGCGAGTGGTGCCACGCTTAGGCGTAAAAGTTGACGGTCTACCATGATAATTAGCCACGTCTCTTAATGATGGTGATGGTGATGGTGATGTTGGATGAGGACTCACGTCTTTCTTCTTGGCTTGTACTTCAGCAATTGCATCAACGTAATGCTCATGGCCAATTTTGTTCTTTCCTGACCGCAGGGCTATCATGCCCGCCTCAACACAAACAGCTTTAAGCATTGCTCCGCCGAACTCATCGGTACTCCTTGCAAGCTCACCCCAGTTGACACCAGGGTCTACTTTCATTTTTCGGGAGTGGATTTTGAGAATTTGAGCTCTGGCCTCTTCATTGGGTAGTGGGAACTCGATTTTTCGGTCGAGTCGTCCCGACCTAAGCAAAGCTGGATCAAGCACATCGACACGGTTTGTCGCGGCTAGAACTTTGATGCGGTCGTCCGATGCGAAGCCATCCAACTGGTTCAAAAGCTCCAGCATAGTTCTTTGGACTTCACGATCGCCGCTCTTCTCGCTGTCGAATCTCTTCGTGCCGACAGCATCAAGTTCATCGATGAATATGATAGCTGGCGCCTTCTCCTTTGCCAAAGCAAAGCAATCTCGAACCAGTTTGGCTCCATCGCCGATGAACATCTGGACGAGCTGTGGCCCCGCCAGTTTTAAAAATGTAGCGTCTGTTTGCGCCGCACAGGCTCTTGCTAACAGCGTCTTTCCAGTGCCGGGAGGGCCGTACATCAATGCACCTGGAGGGAAAAATTAGCGGAACTATTGCTAGACGTGGAGATACAGCTGTCACAGGATCTAGAACTCGAAGCGGGGGAAGCTGCCGGCAAGATTTAAGGCGGTAGCTGGTGGGTTTCTCACCTTTAGGGGCTTTAATGCCAATTTTTTTGAATCTGTCGGCTTCCTTCATCGGCCATACAATCGCCTCAACCAACTCCTCGATCTGCTTGTCGAGGCCGCCGACATCTGTATACTGCTCTGTAGGCTTTTCATCTACTTCCATCGCTTTCACCCTACTATCATACTCGGCTGGTAGGGTGTCGAGAATAAGGTAAGAGTCCTTGTTGACTCCTATGAGGTCCCCAGGTTTCAGCTGGTCAGAATCCACCAGCCCAATGAGCGGCAGAAAAATGGTTTGGCGAGTAGACGTCTTAATAACAGCCGACTTGCCTACTCTGGTTGCATCCAGGTCAATATTCGCACCCTCTTCTGACGATTCAGCCGTAGGATCGAGGTCTAGCAACTCCACAACATTGCCAACAAGATACGGAAGCTGTCTGCAATTTAGTTAGCAAGAGGTTGATAATGTTGATATTTCTGTGCCATGCATACCTGTTGTTCGCAATCTTATCCACATTGTCCTTGATTTTCTCCCCCATTGCTGCTTTCTCGTGGGACAGCCGGGAAAGCTCGCTCTTCATGATTCTAGAATCGTTTTCCAGTAGTCGCTTCCGCGTCAAAATATCTTGTGTACTGAGGCCAAGTACCTCGTCGTCCAAGATATCGTCATCTACCTTATCTTTCATCTCCTCGTCTCCATCTGGTCTTCCCTCCCTGTCTTGGTCAGGACCTCCATTTCTTTTTCTTTCATCTTTGTCTCTACGATCGAGGTCGTCGAGCTCCTCGAGGGTGGACATCGTGGACGCCGTGAATAAGTGCAGTAGTCTCACGAAAAGTAGCTCCGATATTGTAATTGGTTAAAAGACTTGTTTCGGCAGGCCTACGGAGCTAAAAAAGAAAGACCGTCGCAGCTCGGACTTGGTACTGGATCAGGGCGACGAGATGTTGCAAGAGCTGGGCCAAGCTGCAGGGTCGGTGAGCCTCGTACACAAGGTCAGAGGGGATGGATGCTTGACAATCCTAGGCAGACGGTGGCGCGCAATCATTGGCAGCTTCACAGTATTAATGCTCTAGGAGCACTGATGTTAGTCAGCAGGCAACGTTTCTGAGAGCACTTCCAAGGGGGCAGGGGCCAAAAGTTTATCCGGCCCCACTGAATATTTCCCTTTCAGATGTGTTTCCAAAGCTCCAGGCTGTTGAACGCGGGTGTACCAGGACATTCGCTACTATCCGAAAAGTAAGTATGCGCACCGGAAATGGCAAGTTTTCTATGTGAGACTAATGCTTACATTTGCAGGATGGTTCGTGGAATGGATAAAGCAACAAGACCATGCCTGCGGCTGCTATTGTCGAAACAGAGAGCTCCTCGTCAACAGGTTGGACGGTTCAAATCATTTTCTTCCACAACCTCATTTGCAACAGCAAGTCAAGCGACGATTGATACAGCGAAATTCTGTCCCGGTGACTTTGATTATGCTCCAGTAACAAAACCTGCTAGTGCGAGGCCGATCGATACAAGAAAGAGCCAGTTGATTCGAACCTATACCTCTTTACTGCGGACGACGCCATTGATGCTGTTCTTCCAGCACAGCAATTTGACAGCCATTGAATGGGCAGCTGTCAGGAGAGAGCTGAAGAAAGCCATTGATGCGGTACCAAAGCCCAGCCAGCATTCCGGCTTGGGCTTTGCGGATCTGTCTTCACGAATGCAGCTACAGGTTGTGCGAACAAACATGTTTAGTGTTGCATTGAGGATTGTCGAGTTTCACAGCCCACATGTTTCAAAAACATCACTCTCTGCGCAAGTGGCAAGCCAGGGACAGCCAGCACATGACCTCTCAAAAATGGCCTACGAGGCTATTGGTGAAGCCACCGTTCCAGCGGACTCTGCCTTTGCACAACTCCAGCCACTAATGGTTGGTCCTATTGCGGCACTTGTTTTGCCAGCAGTTTCGCCGGCACATCTTGCAGCTGCTTTAACTATTCTTTCACCTGCCCCTGGGGTATTCCCGGCACCGACTAGAAAAAAGAGCCCCGGTTACCACGATCCCATCTGCCAGAATGGCCTTGCAAAACTTTTGTTAGTGGGTGGTCGCATTGAAGGCCAGATTTTTGATCAGGCTGGGGTGAACTGGGTGGGCGGCATTCAGGGTGGAGTGGACGGCTTACGAGCACAGCTTATCAACACTTTGCAAGGAGCTGGCCTGGGTATTACGGAAACCCTCGAGGGCGGCAGCCGAAGTATATGGCTTGCTCTGGAGGGTAGGAGACTGCAGCTGGATTGTGGTGACGAGAAATCGCAATCGTGAAAAGCCTTCCTCTGACGCCAGCCCTCGCTAAATACCTTCTTGGTAGAGAGCAAGCCTAACATGTATTAAAATGACAGGTGCTATAGATGTCGGTTGTACTATTATCATTCACATTTGATCCATGCACGAATATGCTACCTTGATATATTATCAAACATGACTGATGACACCTGTAGTACCACTACTATCGTACCAAATACCAAGGATTTGCTTGCCCCAACGATTCAGTACCAATAGCGTAGCTACTACGTTCAAAGCATTAATGAACCGCATGAGTTGTCAACATCTGGACGCAATATGATGGACCCGCAGCAGTCCACAGGTGACGGGAGGTAGGTACCTAGGTACGTAAGTACATACTAAGTACGCATTATGCCCCACTGCATAGTTGCAATGAACTCTCTATCTGGCATAATAAACCACCGGACTACTTAAGTACATCATACTGTCTGCCATCTATTTGTAAAGCCTCTTTAGGAGATAGCTACGAAATACCTGCCAGCACGCGACCTCCCTCCCAGCGGCTGCAATACAGTCGAGCATCATTGCATTCATATCGCAGTATAGGAGGAGGGCCTGGCTTGTTCTGCTCCCATTGCATCTAAGCATCTGGGTGAAACTCGAGAGACTGGCGACTTCGCCGCCACTGGTGAGTCTTGCATAGAGAACAATCCGCAGTTGGGCTTCGTTGCGGGTATGGAGCATCTAATATTTTTGCATAGAAGAAGTATAAGTAGTTCATCCAACCAAGGCGGTCCTAGGTTTCTGGGGAAACGACCATCGAGCGATCATCACGACAAGGCGGCCCGCTGAGTAACCACGCTCGACCACTTCCACAATGGATTTCGCTCCGTACCAATCCTCCCCGCCTGAACACTCTCGTGTTGCCTCCCCTGAATTTAATTCATCATCCCCTCGGCAGTCCCAGGACGGTACATCAAGACGGCCCTTCTCACCAGGCGATACTCGAAGCCCTCCACCGCTACAACACCCACAACCACAACGGACTTGGGCAAATCTTCAAAGCCAGGCAGGTGGGTGGTCAGGTAGTGCTGGCGCTGGAACAACCATGCCTGGCTCTTATCCAGCTGCCGAAATCAGCGAGTTCGATACCAGCCTAGGACTGCGGCTTGACTATGAGGCTTGCTTGGCCTATCTGGCACTTCCCCCTCTTGGTGCAATCGCCTTACTGATCCTGGAGCGCAATAGTGACTATGTTCGGTAAGCTTCGGAAATTCTCTTTATTTCTGTAGGGCCGCAGCTATCACAACAATCAGACATCTCAGTACACGTGAAAAGAGGTATTGTTAACAGCGACAACCCAGGTTCCATGCATGGCAATCAGCCTTATTATTCACTACAATACTCGTATTTCATCTGCTGTTCTCGTGGTCGTTGTTCCTCACTTGGGTTCTCTCGATAGGCGATGTTGCTCTCATTGCTCTCCTATCGCTAAGAGCTTATAAAGATGCTGAGATTCTGGACAGGTATTGAACTGAATGCTATCCTATCTGAACCTCGTATTGTTCTTCCAACTTACACTATTGCAGATATGAAGTGCCATTTTTTGGACGCATAGCGAGTCGTATACTGGATGATGAGTGATTGATAGCAGTGTGCCAGCGAATATAGGCTTTAGTCTTCAAGATTTTTAGTATATTTGACGAGTCCTTGCGATAGCCATGTATCCTATTTACCCAAGAATTTGAGGTGCGATTTTTCAATGGCAACTGTTGCTGTACGAGACAGGAGCGAACTGGCGTGAACTGGATAAATTATACAAATTATTGTCCCCTGTTCGATACACCTCATTATGTTGTGTACAATAAGCTGTGGCTGGTAAAGTTTGCCGAGACCAATTACATGAAATAATGTCGAGACAACACAGTCAGGAAAGCTCTGGGCCGGGGGTGTGGTATTGACGACATAAAGTTTCAGCTTTGGCGATCTCTTCTTTAACACTTTGCCCACTGAAATAACGCCACTCTATCTCGAGAGCACTCCCCTCACGGTGCCTTTGAGGACCGGCTTTTCCTCCAAAACCACCTCCGAAATATGTTCGCCATCAGCGCCGGCCTCAATCCATTTAGCCAAGAGGTCATTGCTTTCCTTCGGCTTGACTCCGGTATCCCTAGTACCCACTGTGATGTGGGCAACTCGGTTCACACACTCCCATTTACCTGTGTCGTCCAACAAGCGCACTACGACGGCCATTATACGGTCATCGAACACAATCTAATAACAGCAAAGATCAGCTCAAACACAGTTCTAGTGAATCGAAACTAGGCAGATGTAGGCGAAATCGACGTACCCTTTCCAATAACAGGTCACATTCTCCAAACTGTGATTCCGAGCCACCTGCGGCTTCCCACGCCGCAGTGTATCGTTGCCACAGATCGGGATATTCATCCATGCTTGCTCTGTGCATTAGCGTAAGGTGAAACCTGCTTTGTATCCTCCTAGTCTGTTTCAGTTGCATGTAGAACCGGGCGGTCTGTGAAGTGGAAGCGCTGAAAGCCTTCTGTATAACGCAGTTGACTTTGTCGCTTGCAACATCCACAGACATGTACTCTAGCTTCCGCTTCTTTTTAGTATTATTATCCGTTGCTCGAGCTGGAATGCGGTGATAGATATCGGGTTGGTAATCAAGCGCATTTTGGATTGCCGCATCATATTCCTCTGTAGACGGAATTGCTTCAATAAGATTCGGAAAATGTTGCTTCAACCGGCTCACCGCAGTCTCTAGATTTTGTCGACTGCCTACTACAGGGTCCAGTTCAATAACAACATCGAATCCGTCATCTGGATGAGCATATGGTGTGCAAGGCTCGAATCTTTTGATGAATCCATCCATTACCCCGATGAACTTTCCTTTCTCGCTCGCGGCACGTATTGTCTGGTGGTTGTCGCCACGTGCTAAGACTCGGGCCTGTGTGACACTCCGAATTTTTTCCATAGACTCAGTATCATGCCGAAAGTTGAGGCACACCAGCTTGGCACCAGCATGTTGCAACTTCACATCAGTGATTAGCTGCTTCCTCTCGGTTTTCGTTGCATTGTTTCGGTCAGCAAAGACTACGGAATGATCTTCCAACTGATCCAATACAGCTTTCGTAAATCGAGGGGGGCGACCCTTGCCAGATATATTATCATTTTGGATGTGACCCCATCCAAAGAGATGTGACATAGCCAAGGCTATAGTGGTTTTCCCGCAGCCGATGGTGGCAATTGGGCATAGAATAACGTCGCCCGTAACTTCTGTCATAATAACAGGATCTGAGTCGTCCAAGAATGCTGCGTCGCGCCCATTTATGTTTTTGAATTTGAGGAAATCGTCTCGCAGGGCAATGATGCCATGGTTCTGGTTATATAGCTTCCCAAGGTTCGGATCAGCAGCCAACCGCTTGCGAGCATACAGCAGGTACTCCTCAGTGATCTTGTGATGTTTCTTGAACTTGGGTGGTTTCCCCGCAATAAGTGCCTTTGTACATTCCCTCCATTGTCGATACATCAAGTATGGTTCTTCAAATTTGTATTTGAAAAACCAATCCTGGTAGGGTCGCGTGGCTGGGTCTGCACTCATTTTGCACCGAATGACAAATCCCTCGACCTCTCTCCCGTCGTGCGATCCTGTCTGTGCAACATCCTCCAGAAATGTCTTCACCTCCTGGACGTTTCCCATTACCGTAAAGCCCGTTTTGATAAATCCCCAGTTATCTGCAAATTCCTGTACGGCCGGGCTGGGATACGTAACGAATTCCGGGAGGTTGAGATTGATCCCGTGGAGATACAGGCCAGCTGTGTCAGACCTATATGCCAGAACATGCTCCTCAAATGAATCATCACAGAGTTCAGCGACTGCGGTGACGTTGCGGCTTCGAAGCTCTCTAGCTAGATCTTCTTTGGTTCTGCCAATAGCTGAGAGTTGTCTTTCTAGGCGTCTCTCACCCGCGCTGGAATGGCTGACTTGAATATCATCTCGGTCGCCTGTGGAATGTTTGCTGCAGACCAATAATGTACCATCGTCAAGCCCGGATACAAATATAATGCACCCATTTTCCTTGAGCGTGAGCTCATAGGGGGGGAGTGTGTTGACAATTATGTTCTCCCATTTCGTCTCCGGCACTTCACTGACGTTGAAAAACTTATCATAACCTCTGACGGCTATTTCAGGGTGCTGCCGCGGTGCCTTAGGGGTGGTGAAGAGGCCCCGGGCGTATGTGGGAAGATCTGGTCGCTTATAATCCCAGTCTTGTAATTTCCATGAATCAATTTTGAGCCCATTCGTTGAGCCTTTGACCTGGAAACTTGTCTTCTTGATAGCAAACCCGCCGTGTCGCTTCTCTTTCCTAGCCAATTCTAGGGCATTGAGCATACGAGAGACATCGTCGATATCTTGAGGGATATACGGCGCAGCTGACGACATTTTATTGTGCGAGTACCTGAACTTGCTCAATCGAGATTGAAACCCTTTCTGTGTCAGATAATGTGGTCTTGTATTGGAGTGAGAAGACAAGAAGAACTAGTTCGCTCGAGATATCTTAGAACGTGGAAAGCAGACCGACTTGGAATAGCCGAAACTCGGGAAACCGCTATGACTCACAGCCTCAATTTCTCCTGCGTTGTTGCTCCGCCTTGGCGTTTTCCAGCCTCGCAAAGCTTGAGGCAGGAATGGATGTGTGCATGTAAACATTTGACACCAGGAGCAGACTTGTGCCAATAACTAAAGCTTGTCGTGAGAATGGGTCATCGCCGAGAAGCCCTCGACCGGGTGGGTCCAAAGCTTCCCAGTTCCTGTTATATACTCCGTAGGTACCTGCCGTAGGTACATAGGTACGCACCTAGATAGGTACTTACAAAGTACCCAGGTAAGTATGTGATTTGGCAGGCGGATTCAACAAATGAAGGCATGCACATCCGTGCCCCCTGGGCAGCTCATTTCAGCCACCGTCTGTCTTCCTTGTCAAAGAGCGATTCAGGCGGGAATGCCGCCGCCGCCTTAGGGAGGGAGAAATCAGGTACTCCCTATCCATGAATCATTAATCAAATTTCTACAGTCTAATCCACAAAACACAGCTGGTGACTGGAAGACTTATGCTGCCGTGTGGTTGTCGAAATCAGTATAACTGGGCTACATAACGAAAATACCAATAAATAACACTGTTAGGAGTCGAGCCCAATCTCCTTTACGTAACTCCGAGAATAGAGGATACAGTGACCTAGAAATTTTTGGGTCGTTGTCATGTGGGATGTTCCAAAGAGCCGATTTAAGGTGTGTGCTCGGGTGAGTAGAAACCCTGTCTGACATAATCCGGCTATCCAACCCGAACTTTCGCAGATGCGCTGAGTCCAACCTCACTTTAAATGACTTGTGCCACAACCCTCAGACATCTTAAGAGGTGCATCTTACGTTCGCCCTGGTCGCACAACCCAAAGACTGTCGACATGTCACCAAATACGTTCCTTCTTGCTGCGGACAACAGCCCTTCATTGCTTCCGCTTCTTCGTGAAAATCCAAACCTAGCAGCCGCACAAGATGAGCATGGTTATTCTCTCCTTCATGCAGCAGCCAGCTACAACCATCTGGATTTGCTACGGGCCTTAGTTCTTGAGTTTCATGTCGATGTTAATATGAAGGATGAGGATGACGAAACAGCGCTGTTCGTCGTCGAAACACTGGAGGCCGCAAAGGTTTTGGTCGAAGAGTTGGAGATTGATGCCCATCATAAAGGAGCTGATGGTATGACGGCTAGGGAGAGGATTGAATCGGAGGGCGAGTTCTCTACAGTTGCAGCATATCTGACCAGCCTCGACATCAAACAGCCGGGAAAGAAAGTAGAAGCTATTGCCCACGGTGTCACTGCAGAAGCCATCCATCCTCCACCGCAGGGAATGAAACTCATCGTCGGCACTATGGATGCAGGGGAGCAGGTCGCCTCTGACGTCGACACAGGGTTCCGTCGCCGCATAGAAGAGTTGGCACAACGAGATGATTTTAATGCACCGGCTGGACAGGCTCATTTACGAAAACTAGTGGAGGATGCCATTTCAAATCGATTTCTAGGGGATGAGCGAAATGTGAGGTCGAAGCAGACTCACTAACTGCTCATTTACATCTTTTAATCTGCCACATCAGATACTGGTCCTCCTGTCCAGGTGGCCGTAACAAGACTGATTCGGCATTGACGCCCATTTCGACGCAATAAGAGCTGGTCGCGATGATGGATAACCAACTCCGCCTGGGGCATACTGCCACTACATCGCGGGCTAGGTCGCGTAACCAAGTGGCTCCAATAAAGCCTTGCCACGTGATTTTACAAACATTCAGGCGTTCAGAGGTTTTACCCGTGACACAGTATCTTGACAGGTAGGGATCTATATTGTCGTCCGGCTCAACTCGCGCACTCTCGAGTCTCACCAGTGACAGCCACTCATATAGGTCAGTCCCTCGCTCCTCGAGACCCGCATGGTCAGCGGCTGTCGATGAAGTGATACGGAGCATTTCAGGCAGGGGAAGGATCTTATGCAAAGCTTTCGAGGCGACGATGTACTGGTGTGGCTGGGAGTTCTCCCAGGGATTCTTGTTGAGGGCTGGGATACATCGTGTCAGCATTGGTATTCGGTTTCAAACAGACAAATGGAGTACATGATTGCTACACAAAATATTTCGAAAGATAGAAAAGCCTAGGGTTAAAATGTAACGGAACTGGGCGTGGTCTTACCCGATCCTGTTTTGAGGCATAATAGCCACACTAACCGTTCAGTGAAGACTGTGGAACAGGCATGTGCCAAGCAGACAGGTATTCTTCCATCAGGATATGAAGCCCGGCTGTTTAAATCAACCGTAATGCCTATTTCAGTTAGCATCATAGTACACCTGTGATTTAGTATTGGATGTCTGCAGAGTTCCCTACCCCATTTGGGTTGGCCGTCGCTTCCACCTTGGGCAACCAGTGGCTTGCCTGGAATTCCGGCTCTTTGAAACGTCTCTTTGTCCATATGAATGGTAAGAATTCCTGTGGTATCCCACTTAGCATACACTCGTTATTATTATGACGTCTCGTTGCCTACCATTCCTAATAGCATAGCTGCTCGCAGACGCCGAGTTTGCCTCACAAAACATTGTTATCTCTTCTGTGCTCGGTCAGTCAGGTTGCATCTTTTCAGTGTCAGTCTTCTGCGTACGGTTTTCGATGAGCTGGATGAACTGTTCCGAGTTCAACAGCTGGCCAAGAGATATGGTGGTACGGTAGAAACAGGGCTGCGGTTTGTGCTGCAAGATCCTTTCCTGTATGGTCTGATACACTTCAACAGGTGCAATCAAGTCAACCTGTTGAATTGATCAGAGATATGCGAAATAAGGAAGTTTCTCTCAGCTTCTATTTTATGATAAACCTACCTTCGAAATAAAGTCTTGGTCTTCGATCAAGGCCCATGGACCACCTTGTTGTGAAGGTTGATCGTCGTTGATGGGACCTACTGTGCCATGAGTCATAAGACAAGCGGCAGGTTGGTACATGAGGGAGCGAGAATATGCCATGTCGAGTGTAGCTCTGGGTGTTGTCACCGGTCGGCGGTATGGTATCCAAGGCTTGGTTTTGTGTAATCCTTGGTTGCTGAAAATCAACAAATACAATGATGGGGTGCAAGGCAAGCTTGGGTGAGAAATATGCAGTTCAAACAGCCATGAGGGTAAGAGGCTCTATTTTCGTTTCTTTTTTGTCCACTGAGGCAGCTTTGTGGGCTCCTGCAGTATTTGACTTGAAAACTTACCTAGATAGATGTGCCCCTTCGGCTTTCGTTGCTTCCAGGCGGTGGTGATTCTGGTGGTAGTAATGCATACCTAAGTACTTAAGTAAGTAAGTATCAATTGATGGTACTTAGTAGCAAGGCCCCAGTCAGGTCCATCTTGATCACAATTAGCGACAGAACCCGCCCTAGTGCCTCCCGTGAGTGGGGGCTGGGGGAAAAAATCGACAACCCTAGAGTGAATGGACTCCGGCAACAACGAAGGCTCGAGATCGCCTTCATGCGACGGGAAAGGAGTCGGATAAGAGTTGAATAGCATAAGAAGGCCGCTCGTGGTCATTCATCGGATTTGGCTATCCAAATACGCGTGCGCTGCGTGGTTATGCTAATGACTCACTGCCACCATCGAAGTTGACGGCCACAAATAAACAGACCCAGGCTTCTGCTCTCAACTCGCCCAGCGCATACAGCCGACGATTTAATATTTCAAAAGCCTAGCATGGATTTCGTCATAAAATTCGCACAAGCCCATGAATCGTTCCGCGTGGCAGAGATACAGGCTCTTGCTGTAATAGAAGGCGTTGACTTGGAGGTCCTCGAGTACAGGGATGACGTTTGTGTTGCTACATCCATCCAATTTCATTCCAATATTAACACTGTAGCAGTCCCCCTTCTGCATTGCACGTCTTCCTTCAGCTGGAGACGCCCATAGATTGATTCGAAGGTCTATTCTTGCTCAGTCCGTACATGAACTCTGGGGGACAGGTGCCACATTTGATGCCCTACATCAGTCCGTGACGGAACGGACTAGCAAAATATGGGCAGATTACAAGTCTGTATCCTTCAAATTTATCATCGACTCATACCAAGGAGCACACTCAAATAGCGAGAGACTATCCATTATCAACACCTTTGACTACCTACCATTCGAGGGACCGATTCGTATGTCGCAGCCAGACGAAATATTTACAGTATTCGAACTATGGCCATTCAATAGCGTCCCACTTGGAATAGAAAAACCCACCAACATTTATTTAGGGCGCCTCGTTGGAAAGTCATCACGGGAAACTGTTCTTAAATTCGACCTGAAGAAGCGAGGATACATATCTACTACTAGCATGGATTCGGAACTGTCGCTCATAACCGCAAATATTGCCCTGGCAGGGCCTGGAAAGCTTTTCTATGACCCGTTTGTTGGCACGGGGTCGTTTCCAATCGCTTGTGCTTGCTTCGGCGCGATGGCATGGGGCAGTGATATAGACGGCAGAAGCATGCGCGGCGAAGGGGGCACCAAGAGCTTGAGGGGCAACTTCCAGCAGTACGACATCGAACAGCGATTAGGTGACGTCTTCGCTGCTGATCTCATGAATTCGCCAATTAGCAAGAATAAACGGATATGGGATGGGATAGTCTGTGACCCGCCATACGGCGTCCGGGAAGGGCTGAGAGTTCTCGGACTCAAGGATCCTGAAAAGACACCATGGCTTATCGAACAGGGCAAGAAAAATGCTTCGTACGTTTACAACAATACGCGTTATTTATCCTGGTGTGCATTTTGGCACTCATGACGCTAACAAAGACCTTGGCTGACCGTTCCAGCTCGCCTGATTTTGTGCCACCCAAAAAGCCATACAGTTTCTTGGCGATGCTGGACGATATCCTCGCCTTCGCCGCAGCCACGTTGGTTGACAATGGCAGGTTATCGTTCTGGATGCCCACCGCGAATGACGAGGACCAAGAAATACCTGTGCCCACACACCCGTCACTCGAAGTGGTGGTGGTTTGTGTTCAAAAGTTCAACAAGTGTAAGTCTTTACCTCGTTAACATGCAAGTTTAGCCTACCGCCGTCAGTCAATCATCAGCCTGGCCTAACCATTGATGGCTTTTATGTCCACAGACCAAGATCTAACCACGGCTGTAGGGTCAAGACGATTGATTACATATAGTCGACTTTCAGACGAAAAGGTTTCTGCAGCAGCTGTGGCAGTATACCACAGTCGGAAAACGGTCAGCACGGTGGGCTCAACTGTTGACGACCTGAACCCGTTCCGGCGCGGATATTTCAAGAAGTTCGAGACTTAAAGATAGCAACAATAGAAATCATCTTCCCATACCATTTTGGTATTCCTAAATGTTAAATATTTGTCCTTACGCCCCGTCCTCAATAACCCGCTCGTCAATGTACGCTATCCAAGACCCCTGCGTATGTTATGCTTAACCAAGCCTGTAGACTATGAAAAGAACTGCGCATTTCGTGCCATCTAAACCCAGCGAGCTCGGGAAAATCCGTGTGATGCTAGGGACCGTACTGAAATAAAATGCCGCTGTATACTTCGAACTGCCATACTGTACTCCCAACCCTTCTGCTCCTTATGAGGGACGCTAAGGTGCCAATCTTTTCCAAACTGACTGTAGCCTTTCATTACCGGAACTCTGTAGCGCTGAAGCATCCTCGATTTGGGACGTGTTTCAGCTCGAGCTGCTGGAATCTGGAACGTAATTAGAACCAATCTGTGGCAATACCACAACATGTCGATTACACTTACTTTTCGCTCTTTGAATGAAAATAAATCCCGCTGACCTCCCCCTTGAGCTGGTTGAAACAAATATAATAGAAGCCCTCAAAACTGGCTCCAGTAATGGTCCGAACCCGGTGATCAGGCACCAGGAAATGTTCCTTCCATCGCATAAAGATGTTCTCTCTTTGTGTTACATCAGGAATAGTTACTGGACCTTTGCGCGCATGCTTTTGAAACGGCCGAAACGCATTGAACTTTGCCCAATGGCTAAGATCAACCCTCATGTTCGCCCCCCAGTCCTCATGCTGGGTGAAGAAGCTGTATTTCGATCCGATAATTTCTCCTTCGAAATAGGTTGTTAAAGTCGGGTGGTCTTCAGTGAGACCTATGTAACAACAATCAGTTAGCACTTTCCCAGACATCAGTCTAGAATAGTACCAGCGAAGGCGTATGGAGGGGAGGATATATCTCGAACCTTGAATGCGCAAGTATCCGCACAGAAAGGACTCGCGCATATCGACATGTTTGATTTCCACCTGGACATCATATACTTGGCGTTCTGACTGTTGTGTTCCATGAAATCTGCTGCCTGGCTGCAAGAAGGACAACGGTGCAAACGGTATAGCCTAAAGAAGTTAGCAGAAAATAAGACGTGTGGTTAGTCAATTCGCGCGTACCCGAGCGCTGGAGTAGTCGGATCCCATGGACGGTGGAGTGCATGCGACATCCTCTTCCTCAAACATTGCCAAGTCTGGTCCTCCCAGATCCTTTGGAGACTGCTCTAGCGACTGACTCGGCCTTGAACTGGCCGTGTGCGGAGTTGGGCCGTCCGGACCCAACTCTGGGTTCTTCATTGTGTGTCCAGCATCTATTCCACGAGATTCTGGTGATGTGACTGCAGTGGTACTGGTTTGTGGCGCTGGGGAGACTGTAGTATCTCTTGAGGATGGAGACTCTGATGCGCGATTGTCAGTGGCGGTTTCCACTGTTCTTTGCATTGATCTTTGTGATTCCAACCCAAAGTTGGCCGGTGATAGTCCATCGGGAGCTGGGCCTGAATGATTATCCAAGTCATGACGTGTTGTATGGAGAATGTCGTCGGGACAGGTTGAGAAAGGGTACGGAGAGGCCGATGGTGGTTGATCCGGAGGTTGATTCGGTGACGGTGTCGGCATTGTTGCTAGCAGAGGATAGACTGGTGGCTGGCAAGGTATATTTGCCTATTGTATAGGGCACGACAACCAGGTCGACCGCGGATTTGTGCCTCCTGATGTAGATAGGGAGTCGACTACTACGGGAGCGGGATGGATCAATTCGGGCACAGGATGCTGTGAGAGCAATTTGACTGCGAGGCAAGATGGCCGTATTGCGCGCCGTTTTAGGCAAGGGGATCCCCTTTGAATATCGTTGTTAACGAGACCCAACTTGATAAAAATTGCAAAAAGAGGGAGGAGTGATCAAAGTTAGTTGGGAGTGGTTGTGGTGGGCGACAGTCGAAGGCATTAGTTATGGAGAGGTCGTTTCTCATGAAGCCGCGACGCACATGGCAGATTTTGAGTTAGGTTTTGACGAAGGAAATGCCAGAATTCATCGAAGGGTAAAAAGGGTGCAGCGCTGAGCTACACGGGAAGAGTTGCGGCGATCGTGTTGGTAAGGAAGAGTCTGGTTGAATGGGCTGAATCGGAGATATGGATGTGGAGGTGTTTGCCAACGCCCGTCTCCAGTACCGCCTGATAATAGTACAAGGCATGTGCGCAAGCAAGGTGGACCTTTCTTCCCGCTTGGGTGTTTGTGTTGCTTCTAAGTACTACCTACAGTGGCTAGTCCACCTAGCTGTCAACGGGTAGGGGAGTACTTACCTACTTAAGTAAGTAAGTACTTCAATGTTAAGTACTTAAGTACCTACCTAGGTACTTAGGCACTTAGCTACTGCTGCCGGTGGGCTCTAGTGCCCAGTTCACCGCTAAGAGCCTTACTGGTACCTTAATTTTCCTCATGTGCCGGTTGCGGTACAGGCATGGGGGTGGAAGACCATTGTCATTGCGTGTCTGCTACATCATTGGGTGTGGAGTATCAGGTTGGCTTCAGGTATCCCTGTGCTCATAACCGTTGTACTTCCATGTGCCCGTGTACGTACTTCAAATACTTAAGGCAACTTATTGGTTCGATGTTGGCAGGTCATCTCGCCACCTGCAGTACCTGAACTGGTTGATAGAGGCGGATACGGTACTCCGGTGCCCAGGCACAGGGAGCGCCAAGTGATATACCCAGTATTAAGTAATTAGTGTCTCGAGCTTGAGCTTTTAAAGAGAACCGGGTTTCCCGCTTTTCTCGTACGGTTCGCTGCATGTCCTAGTATTATGAACAAACTGCTGGATAGCTACCCGGTACCTCGTGCACAGTAGGTATCCAAGTAAAAGACCCTAGCCTCCTACTGCGGCGCAGCAATTATCAATTACATGTAGGTGCCCGGTAGATAGGAGTGGGTGAATTGACTTCGATGCCAATGTCTGTTCGGGTGAGTATTTTAAGAATATTGCTACAGCCAGCCTGATGGCCTCATCAATACACATCTGGTGTCTTAAAACCTTCGGCTTTCGACATTAAATGTTTGTAAGCTTTAAGGTGGGCATGCAGTTGCTGGCGTTGGAGCTATCAAAATGTGATCTCACCTTGTCGCCAAGTGCGTTGGAGTCTTGCTTGTGTGCTCGCTGAGCTGCATACACGTACGAAGGGCCCCCAACCACACAATCGCATGCTTCAAATAAGGACCTAGAAAACCCCGTAATCTTGCGGTCGATATCATGTTGATACTTGGAGACAGGCTTGTACTCTAACTTTTCATACTTTACGGTGGACAATGTCAAGCTTTCAAGTCAAGGAACAGAAATTGTCAACATTTTGGTGTGTGTGCTATTCTAAAGTTGCTTCGCCGCCATCATAAATCACCGAATGTCAGAAAATGATTATAGAACCAGAATGTTCTTGGGTCTTTGGTGATAGCCTTGAACGATACTAAGCGGGACAAAATGAAGCAAAATTGGATATTTGAAAGAGAATATATCCGCAACAATAGCTGAGGGCAAGGCAATTTAATCAGGTATTTGACATGCAATTGATAGCGCGCCATGAGTTTTGTGACGCTGGAGAATTCTTTGGCGTTGGGGCAACTGCTCCATAACGTACTGAATCGAGCCTAGCCCAGAGCTGAATCTGATTACCCGAAGTTGATGTTGCCCCGCGCCAAAGTTCCCAATTGTGCGTCCAAGTGCTAACTACGCCAATACCATCGCCATAAGCCGTTTCGGTATGGCCTAGGTAGGTCTATAGGACTACCTCGCAGCTGTTGGGATAGCCATGTCGGACCACCTAAGCTCCTCTCGCCGCGTAATAATATGTATATCTCTCTTCCATCGAGAAATACCCCGCCTTATGCCCTTCGTATATTTATTCGGACTTATATAGGCTTGATTTTGAAATGAAGTGCTATTAGACTGAAGACAAGTGCTTTCAGATCTTGAACCAGATAATAGAAAACTCGTAAGCCTTCGGGATCGGCGGACTCGGTCACGTCGACTAATGATCCTATCTTGGCGGTCTGGTCACATGGATCAGTATGGAGAAGCATAAGTTGGCACTGGCCGTGTTGTACCCACCTCGAATGAAATATGGTCGTTCCCAAGTCTGATTTCCAATTCTTGGCGGCCATCTTTGTTCTTCTGTGGCCACTTGGAATCATCCTCTCTGAGAGATTGTCAGCATGGATACATGTAACTGTCTCCTTGATCGCAACCTCACTTGATAATTTCGCTCGTTTTGATAATGCGTTTTATCTCTTCCACAATAGATGAGCTTACACACACTGGCAGCATTGTTAAAAACTGAATTATCCCTAGAAAATGACAAAGGGACGGCTTGTCAACGAGCCTGGCAACATACTTTCTTTGCGAATGAGACTATCGTTCCTGTAGTTGGAGTTGTTCGCGTATCTCGCAACTGCACTTCTTCCATCTCCCACAACTCTGAAATCGAACTCTGCCCATGGATTAATGCCCCGAAATATATAAGGATGTGCGCTGTAGACTTACCAAGGAATTCATGCCCGAACCTACCCATATGCCCAGCGCTATTTTGAACATTAGCAGGTCAAACCTTCACACGCATATGGCAAAATGCCTTGACTGACTAGTATCGGAGATAGAAAGGTTCGCTCGTCGCAGACATGTTGTCACTTGTTATGTAAAGTTTGCGCTGTAGAGCATCAATGTAGGGTCCTTAAGAGGAAGATTACCAGGGCTTTGAATTGATGTTGATTTGTTTATGCCCACTTCAAATGTTAGCTAAGCATCTGAGCACACACCAAGCTCGACCTAACGTGGGGCAAGATCCAGACAAAGCCCCCTCCTTAGCACGTGATATGGGCCCCAGACTCGTAACTGCCACCTGTTTCCCAGGATGGTCAGGGCCAAGTATCATATCTGGTGGCCAAAGGAGAGCTGCTTCGACAAATCTCAGCGACCCTGGCGACTTCAGCCTTGGAACTGGCACGCACACACTCTCTGTCGTTTGTCCGTTGTTTTGAAGGAAATTCTCTAGCATATGGAATTGCTCAGTTTCCTTGATTCTCACTTTTCCTGAAGCTGCCTACGAAGAAACAGGCGTTTCTGAAGCCAACCCCCTTTATCTGTATCTATCCCGGCGTCCACGATTACGAACTACATCGGCATTCGTCGCGACATCACCTTTGCTTACTTCCACCTGGGATTGCGACTCATTGTACACCTCAATATGTCTGGGTTTCTCGAAAATGCTTACAGCCTGGTTCATCAGGACAATGCGGCCGACGTGCCAACGGTATCAGATTTGCGTATGCAGCTGGAGAAAGGCACTGATGAGACAAAGGTCGAGACCATGAAGCGAATTCTCACAGTCATGCTGAATGGAGACCCAATGCCGTCGTTGCTTATGCATATCATTCGATTTGTCATGCCTTCAAAGCACAAACCTCTCAAGAAGCTCCTATACTTCTATTATGAGATCTGCCCGAAACTCGATTCTAGCGGCAAATTGAAGCAGGAAATGATTCTGGTTTGGTATTGCTCCCTCCCATAAACCTTCATCAACTATGGGTGGATTTTATTTTTAGCTGACCCCCCCTTGCTTGTGCAGCAACGGCATTCGTAACGACCTTCAGCACCCGAACGAGTATATCCGAGGAAACACGCTGCGTTTTCTCTGCAAATTGCGCGAGCCGGAGCTCATTGAACCCCTGCTCTCGTCAGCGCGATCCTGTCTGGAGCATCGGCATGCATATGTCCGCAAGAACGCTGTCTTTGCTGTGTCCTCGATATTTGCACATTCCCCGTCATTAATTCCAGACGCATCGGAGCTCCTTGCCACCTTCGTCGAAGGCGAGACCGATGCGACATGCAAGAGAAATGCGTTCGCGGCTCTTGCAAACATAAATCATGATGCAGCCCTCCTGTATCTAAGTTCTGTTTTTGATGGCATACCAAACGCCGAGGAGCTGCTACAGTTGGTGGAACTTGAGTTTATTCGGAAAGATGCTTTCCAGAATTCCCAGAACAAGGTATGCAGTTGGCTGTTGTCATATCATGTGTCTGCATATCTGACAATTACAGGCTCGATATCTTCGACTCATTTTCGACTTACTGGAAGCCGGTGCCTCAACTGTGGTATATGAAGCAGCGTCTTCCTTAACAGCGTTGACGAATAACCCAGTGGCTGTTAAAGCTGCTGCGACCAAGTTTATTGAACTTAGCATAAAAGAAGCCGACAACAATGTTAAGCTCATCGTCTTGGATCGCGTGGATCAGCTGCGCAAGAATAATGAAGGCATTCTCGATGATTTAGTCATGGAGGTACTGAGAGTGCTTTCCAGCACAGATATTGATGTGCGTAGGAAGGCCCTCAGCATCGCCTTGGACATGGTATCAAGCAAGAATGTCGAAGAAGTTGTTCTTTTGCTAAAGAAAGAATTATCCAAAACCGTGGACCAAGAGTATGAGAAAAATACGGAGTATCGATCTCTTCTCATTCACTCGATTCATCAATGCGCGATCAAGTTCTCGGAAGTCGCTGCCAGCGTGGTAGATTTGCTTATGGATTTCATAGCGGATTTCAATAATGCCTCAGCAGTAGACGTCATAAACTTTGTGAAGGAGGTTGTGGAAAAGTTTCCAGCTCTTCGAAAGACAATCGTTGAACGGCTCGTTTCTACACTGAGCGAGGTCCGTGCTGGCAAAGTTTACAGAGGTATTATGTGGATCGTTGGTGAATATTCGTTGGAGGAGAAAGATATCCGAGATGCGTGGAAGCGGATACGGGCTAGCTTGGGCGAGATTCCTATTCTCGCCTCAGAGCAGAGACTTTTGGAAGATCAAGATGGCGGCGAGCCGATCCAAGATCAAGTCAACGGCAATCCAAAGCCGGCAGCCCCAAGCGGCTCACGTAAAGTCTTGGCCGACGGGACTTATGCCACAGAAACAGCTTTGACTAGCCAATCCTCGGCAGCCGCTAAGCTCGAGGCTGTTAAGACAGCGCAGAAGCCTCCCCTACGTCAACTCATACTAGATGGAGACTACTACCTTGCTACAGTTCTTTCTTCCACGCTTGTGAAGCTGGTCATGCGTCACTCCGAAATTTCGGCTGATATTGCTCGAACGAATGCCCTAAGAGCTGAAGCGATGCTCATTATGATCTCTATTCTCCGCGTCGGACAATCGCAGTTTGTCAAGGCTCCCATTGATGAAGACTCCGTGGATCGCATCATGTCCTGTGTGCGGTCTCTCGCCGATTTCAGCACCAAGAAGGAACTAGAGAACGTCTGGCTCAACGATACCAGAAAGGCATTCCGCGCAATGGTACAGGTGGAAGAGAAGAAGCGGGAAGCCAAAGAAGCACATGAGCGAGCAAAATCGGCCGTACAGGTTGACGATGTCGTCCAGATCCGCCAACTTTCCAAGCGGAATGCTACAGACGGAATAGACGGCATTGAATTAGACCTGGAGAGGGCAACAGGTGGCGAAGCAACCGCAGAAGATCTGTCTTCTAAACTTAGTCGTGTCGTGCAGCTGACCGGTTTCTCGGATCCTGTTTATGCGGAGGCCTATGTGAAAGTGCATCAGTTTGATATCGTCCTCGATGTGCTCCTTGTCAACCAAACAACGGAAACGCTTCAAAACTTGTCCGTGGAATTCGCTACCCTCGGTGACTTGAAGGTCGTGGAGAGACCTACCACTCAGAATCTCGGCCCCCATGACTTCCACAATGTTCAGTGTACCATCAAGGTCTCATCTACGGACACAGGCGTCATATTTGGCAATGTCGTATACGATGGAGCCCATTCTACTGACACAAACGTGGTTATTCTAAACGATTTACACGTAGATATTATGGACTACATTCAACCGGCTACATGCACTGAGACCCAATTCCGAACAATGTGGACTGAATTTGAATGGGAGAACAAAGTCAATATTAACTCAAAAGCGAAGTCGTTACGAGACTTTCTGGATCAACTGATGGCGTGTACCAACATGAACTGCTTGACACCTGAGGCGAGCCTCAAAGGGGATTGCCAATTTTTGAGCGCAAACCTCTACGCTCGGTCCGTATTCGGTAAGTAGTGCAAACATTCAGAAAATTTGCTGTGCAGTGGGCAATATCTGAAAGAAGTTGAATACTAATGAATCTAGGTGAGGATGCCTTGGCCAATCTTAGCATCGAAAAGGAGGGAGAAGACGGCCCTATTACCGGGTTTGTTCGTATAAGAAGCAGATCTCAAGGCCTTGCTTTAAGTTTAGGATCCTTGAAAGGTTTAAACAAGATCGGATCTTCAGCATAAATTCTCTGCAGTCGGTTGAATGCGGATCCGCATCACGCGAGAGTAGTAGGAGGAAAATCACCTGCTCTAAGCAGGAACGTAAGTGAGTTAAGGGATGACAGCGGAGTCAAGGAGGGTGGTTTTGATAATGGGAGCATGGGAGGCTGATATTAGCCAAGTAAAACTATCCATAGATTCGGTGCAGACATTGTGTACATCTTGCCAAGGACGCTTATAATTAACAGTGGCCTGGGAGAGTCGCGTGGATACGACAGTAACTACTGAATTTTAACTTCTGTCATAGATCTTCTCTTCGGTGGTGAATGATGGCAATGGTAATGCCGACATTAGTTTTATCCCAATCTTTCCAAGCAGTTGTGTACAATTATCAGGGGTATATGGATGAAGGAACCCGCACTCGCTAGTACAAAGCCCGCTTGTCAACTAAAAGAATTAAAAAGAAAAGAGCTCATACTTAGGAATTAGACGTCATTACAAGTATAGTGGGTAGTTGATGTGAATGAATCAAGTTCTGATCGCTGTACCGTAGCCGCTAATGAAGAAGAGGTGGCTGACGAGCTTGCGTGGCGCGCATATTACTCTCTGTTAAAGACGAGTGCATTAACCACATGGCCAGTTTGCCAGCCCTGTATTTCAAGAGGCTGGTTATCTTTGAGCATTTTGCCCATATAGGCAATTCTGATCTTCTTTTCGGTGGGTAGCTTCAGATAGGCGGTATTAGCTTGTGGTTGGCCATAACCGGAACTATAGGCGTCTCAACGGAACAAGGAACGTCACCATACAACTAAAGGAAGCGAGCAATGAAAATAGGACACTTACTGACGCTTCACAGGCAAGTTTTCTGATTATATTTCGCACAGTATCCGATTTGCTGACATGGATTTCAAAATCCCTCCCGGTCTCACTAAGGCGTGCTCGTAAAGTTATCTGGTCATAACCATCGATAACCTCTTTGCCCTTTTCATGCCTTCGTCTCTCAGAGTCATCTACGAGAGAAACAGGATCAACCTCTTCTTCCGCGGTGTCGTCATCCCCAGTTGTGGACATGTCAGGCACGTCGACTCCTTCACAGAGGGTCGCAAGATTGCTCGGGTCGGAAACTACCCATTGCGGGAGCTGGTAGTAGTTGCCAAGCGAATCGTAGACACCATTTGCAAGATCGCCCGTCGGCAGCGAGATCTCTGCAGCAGATAAAATTGACTGCGCAGTTGCCAAGGCGTCACTACCTTCACCTCCAGGTTCCTGCAAGACAGCTACAGCAGCGCGAATTGTTTGCCATATTTCCGAACGTCCAGTTACTCGAGTATCAAAGAATTCGGCTCTCTCGTTATCTAGTTGCTGTTTCGTCCACTGGCGATCTGCTGATGTCCACACATGTCGACGCAAGGGCTTGTTGATATGTTCATCTAGTGGACCTTGATCTCGGTGTCGCCGGCGAGGCAAGACTTGGGAGCCTGCTTGCACGCTTTCTGGTAGCGCAAGGGCAGGGGGATTGATGTGGCGAGCAGACGCATTAGTAGCGCCGCCAGGATAAGGCGAATTAGGGCCAGAAGATCTAGAAAAACAGCATCCCTTGGTATAGTTTAGTCTCTTCCTACTGAAGGATCTAGTTGAGAACGCTGACAGCTTACCATTGTCAAGCGTAATCTGTGTTTGCAAAACTGCTCAGGAATCTTGGTAGTGGGCAGAAAAGGGCTTTTAGCGACGGAGAGAGCCAATGTAATCAATCTAGAAAATGAGATCTAGTCGACGAGAAGGAGGTCCGAACGAGCAGCACCACTAAGATCTTGCCACAGCCATGCCAACAATGAAACCAGCGAGGAATCTCGAGAACCGACCGGCTTGATGCTGGGGGAAACCTGGCTCAGATGGACAAGTCGGCTGCTCTGTCTGGGAGAGGGGACACGAGAGCGCGGAATGTAGAAGGAAATCCTTTGTTTGCGTACGTCAAACGACGAGTGCCAGAGATAAGAGGTTGAGAATGCGTAGAGTGTCGGGTTTCGCGAAGCGCAAAAGTGCTGGCCACACAGCACCTGCTAGCTTGAGGCGGGTGGAGGGTGTGCATGTGGGGTTGTCGGGGGGCCAGGAGGAGCGCTGAGTCCATCCTGGCTGTGTATGTAGTACTTCCAGTTGTAAGCTTCAATGCTGGCCCGACTCTACGAAACTGAAAGCTCTTGTGAATATTGAAAGACAATGGGACCAATTGACTCTATTGATCGAACAGTAGCTTGCCAGGCTCGCAAGTGACTGCAAAGTAATTACCTAAGATACCTACTAGTAGTAGGTACTTACTTACCCTGCCCCACTGGCAAAGCATACATACTGAGCCCCCACAACTTGGAGTGCTTGGAAATGGAGAGGAGAGTGTGCCGTGGTGACCGATTTGTGTGGATTCAACCGCCGAAAACAAAGCACATCCGAAGCCCGTAAGCAAACACCACACTGCGCGATGGAAGATGCCACGAGCAGACACTTCTTCCACCATGGCAAAGATGTAGGTTAGATGTCCCTGTCTATTAACTTCCCAGTGTACCAGAAAGGCAACCCACATCCGAGGGGCGTGCCCTATGCAAACAAAGGTTTTTCGGGGACTGATACGTGCCAAATCATCAAAACAGGACAACAAAGATGAGAAGGAAAACTGTCACTGGTGCCAGCTGCGGTCTTTCCCGACACACAAAACGGCCCCCATCACCGTAGTAAACGAAATAGACAGCCAAACTTTACCCCAAAATTTTCGCTTCATCAATGGCGTCGTACTTGGCACTGGCGTCACAGCAGCCGACCTTAGCTTCCGAAGCGGCTGCACCTGTGGTCAGGATGAAGATTGCCAATACTCGGGCTGTCTATGTCTCGCAGATCTCGACCAAGACGAAGCCAGTGACGATGCAGATGATGACCACAGTGGATTGGATTCGGCCACCAGAGCGTCCTTATCACCAGCACGGAAGAAGGCATATGCCTACCACACGCACGGACACAAGGCCGGCTTATTGCGATCAAAACTCCATACGTCCAAGCTGCCACTCTATGAATGTCACCAAGGCTGTGCCTGCTCCCCAGATTGCCCAAACCGAGTAGTTGAACGTGGTCGCACTGTGCCGCTTCAAATCTTTCGTACACCAGATCGTGGATGGGGTAAGCTGAACCCATTTTGTGGTATAAATTGACTTGCTGACAACAGACACATGCAGGTGTACGGACTCAAGAGTCAATTAAGAAGGGCCAATTTGTGGACCGTTACCTTGGCGAAGTCATCACGTCCGCCGAAGCTGATCGACGCCGAGATGCCTCTGTAGTTTATCACAGAAAAGATGTATATCTCTTTGCCTTGGACAAATTCACGGACCCTCAGTCGTTGGATGCCCGACTAAAGGGCCCTCCACTCGAGGTGGATGGGGAATTTATGTCGGGACCTACCCGATTCATTAACCACTCTTGCGATCCAAATATGCGAATTTTTGCTCGTGTTGGGGACCACGCAGATAAACATATACATGACTTGGCCCTCTTTGCTATAAAGGATATTCAAAGGGCCGAGGAGCTGACATTTGATTACGTGGATGGAGCGAGTGGAGATTCTGAAGAGCTAGAAGGCAAGATAGAAGATATGACGAAGTGTCTGTGTGGTAGCTCTAAATGTAGGAGATTTTTGTGGTAGAGGCCTTGAATGCAGCGGTATCCCTGACGTCTAAAAGTCAAGGCCAAACATCATCGATTGCTTACGGCATCATGGTGGCTGGTTAATGTCAAATGGCAGCCTTCACTTTAAAGCAGACTGAAATGGTAAGATCACACCAGACGTACTTACGAGCTCCTTAGGGGGAATCCGCGTCTCGATTTAGGGCGAGAGATACATAGTAGCTATTCCCTTTAAAATTAAAGTGTTTTTTTGGTCTCACTCTCTGACTTATGGGCGCAACTATGAAAGCATAGACTGGTACGGATCTAGAGGATATCCTTATCACCCTTATGTTTCATGGCAGCCAAAAACACTCCTAGACTAACAGCAGGACAGTGGACATGATGCTTAGTTTCCCCCAAAAAAAGCCCTGGTTTATGTAGTCCATAGTCCTGTATACCGTAAAGCTAGAACACGTATCTGAGTGTCCAATAACACTCTTCGTAACTAGATTCTTTATTGCCTTAATCATCTTAATAATCTGCAGGGGAGGCAAAGAGTGGCATGACATGGCAACCATGGACACTGTTTCTCTCCGAACATGGTGAGATCCGGAGGAGGGCTGGCTCCGTGTCTGTCCGAGGCTAAGATCCTAAGATGGGCTAGGCCGAAACCAAAGCCGGGCCCAGCCGAGGGGCATTGCCTTTCCCACCTAGCGACAGGTGCAGAAGGCGGGGCCCCAGCAATGGCTCCGCCATCATGTTGCCCGCTTGGGTTGATGGGACCACTCCTGAGAACAGGGATTTGAGGTGCCCGTCGATCCGAGTTAATACTGTCACGTCGACTTTTTATGCCTGTGGTCTTCATTACCTAGATATTTATGTATGTACAGAAAATAACACACCTAGTCTGATATAGATTCCTGCCCGCAATTGTCATCCAGTCTCTGGGTTAAGATGTGTGCTGGGCAGGCTTGAAAGACTCGCTGGCAACTGAAGTAGTGAGGGGAAGATCGTGTGCCATTAATTTTCTCCTGCAGAGACGACGTACTCCGTACTGTACTAGCAGTTCGGTGCGTGAGTGGATAGTTTTGGAGACGTGGAGTGAAATAACAGCTGACCCGATTGCCTGCCCGGGGGACAGGGGGCGGGCTTTTAAACCAGCAGCGTTTCTTCACTTCCTTTGCACTTTTCGCCGCGGTCATTATCAGACCACTCGAACCCGACAAATGGAGACTGGTATACTTAAAGACTAGAGATTGCATCGCCGCGTGCTGTGTTCTCTCGGACATGTTAACCTTTCGACTGCCCAGCATGATATACACGACGGCCCTATACAACAGGGTGTTTTCTACGTCTGCAAGGGTGCATCCGAGCATCCTCCCTCACCTGCGGCAGTCTCGCCGGCCCCCCTTTCGATGGTAAGTATCTGTCATTCATTCAGTGGGGGAAGCAAAAAGTAGTCGACCGGATAAGGTATCTGGCCATCGCGCTCTGTATGGTAATATAATGTGGTGTGCTAGTGCATGCCTCGGCGATAGCAATTACATGTTTCATTAGTAGTGGAAAAGACAGCTACTCCGGACCCCCTCGTCATCTATGCATAGTGCTACAGCTAATATACCTCTCATGTCCGCGCAAACAGGCTCAAAGCTGCTCTCGTTTTGTGCGGTGCAGGGTACATTGCCAACGTTTACATAGGCCGCGTACGGGAACGCCGGATTGCGGATATTGTTGCAGCTGAAACAAAAGCTGCAGAACTGGAACGTCGAAATAATGCCCTTCTCGATGTATACGGGGATAGATCTAGTCTCGAAGAACTGGAGAAGGCTGTCCAATTTTACGAAAAGAAGTAATCCTGAAGCAACTCGCCAACATCTTTCAGATCTCGGATGCAGCATTCTACAACGCCGTATGACCACGAAATCTTAACACATCAACATACCTAGCTTAATACAGGCTAACACAGACATCTTGGAACACTATCTATCTACGATTGATGGGTGGGACGAGGTACATGCTAGCATAGATTTTCTATGCCGGTAGAACGAAGACCAGGTTAACGGAGATTGGAGGGCATGTCTACCTTGCTACCAAACTACCGAAACCAGCCAGTTCGGGTGTAGAATGTGGTGAAGTATTCGATAAAGCTCAACAACAATGCAAGTCAAAGTTGGGACTGCATAGACGGATGGGTGGGCGATCGTTCAGGAGGACTCACTTGACACATACTCTACATTAGAGTCCAGACATCTGGTCCTTGCCGTAGTTGGTACCGAATCACCCATTAGCACCTGCGTTTGGGATTCCAGGACGAAATAAAGATATGAGAGTGGGAAAAACTGTAACTAGATTGAAGCCCGAGGCTTCAAATTACCACAGACGCGATTAAGCACGAGCAGGTGGAGTTTTGATACGGAGTACTTCTTGTAGTCTGGGTGGTGCTGTTTCCCTAAAGAGTGTTGCAGATTCCTCGCAATCAATCTGGCTGATATTGTTGAGCGCTATATATGTACTCTGCTCGGCAATCGCTCGCAACTTACGCTACGTCTATGCTATGAATTTCATGGAATGTCCGATCGGTGTTGCAGCTTTGCGATGGTTCTCGAGACCCCCAAGTCCACTATCCACTTTTCCTCAAGTCGGCAAGATTATGGTTGTAAACCAATGTTGCATGTGGTAACCTTTAGATGATAAGAGCTCCGCCGACAGGTTCAGTCTTCCCCTATCCGTCTCCAATTTCGTGAATGAAGTTTATTGCTTCACAAGTTGACGCATTAGCGCTACAGCTGCAGCGATGGTTTCCACCTACTTCTTCCTCAGGTTGAGCTGGTATTCCTTCCTTACATCGCCGCTACTTGTTGTCTCGACGGCAGCAGCGGACGAGATGTCGTTGCGTCTATCGAATCCATGGATTATGCCAAACTCTCCCTTTTCAGAGTTTAATGCATGTAGACCTAGGCTGAATGGAAGTATATATTTACGAGTAAACCATAAACCCACTGTAGCCAATATCTACCACTATTAAGCGCATCAATAGTTCAAAGACGCTCGCTCCTACCCGATCGGATGTGTCTTGAAGCTGCCAAAAACCGAGATACCCAGTTTGTCATTTGTAGCCTGTCGGCGGGGTATCATTGGATCGTGAGTTCGTACCCTGAATTTCTGGGGTTTGGAGGAAATATCAGCGGCTCCGTTACCAGCAATAATTGTTTGTTTGCTCTTGGCGGTCACCCAACTGAGTAAGTAGACGATTGGCCGTGGAGAATCTGGCTGCTGTGAACCATTGAAGGAATCGACAAGGCCTTCCACGTTTGTGTTGAAAGTTACGACAACGGAGGACTGCACCGGTCAAAGTCAATAAGCGACTACTTAAGGAGCTCTGGGAATACAAGCCCGCGTGCGTGTGGGCAAAAGAGGACGAGCTGGTTTTATCAACCGGAGATGCGATACGTGCTGGCCAGGCTTTACCAAGAGGGTTTGCCCTGTGCCTACCATTTCGACACTAAATATTTCCCAGGCATTTGCGCTTGAGGTAATAGAACCGGAAGAGCCCTGTAATGTTAAGATAACCTAAGTTCTCCAAGCGAAACAGCTTCACCGAGTCTTGAATTTTCGAATGATGACTCTTTCTTTGTCCAGCTCCCACCCCACGCCATCGTTTCTTGTCAAATCTTCCCATTTAGACGCTGTGATATCCTCTAGAAACTTGAAGTCCACAGAAAGGTATGTTCGCCCGAGACACTTGAGAGTATGTATTCTTACATCCCTTTCTGCCCACTCCATCAACCGAGCTTTATGGCCGTCCACATTTTTTTGGATTCGCCTAAAAAGGACGTAATTGTCATGTATGATAGCCTGAAGGACTGCATTTACTTTCTCATCCTGCAGTTTGAACTGCTGGCGAATCGCAATTGCCTCCGCAAGCTGTCGTCGGCGACACGCTGTGTCCAGCACAAGATATCCAGCCACCTCTTGAACTTCCAATGATGTAAGCGGGTGTCTAACATGAATTACATGCAAAAGGTGTAATATAGCAGCATGATATGATTCTGGCTGTTTCGCCAAAACAGACAAGCGTATACAAAATAAGTATGCTTGTGCCGAAAACTCATCGACACGGCTTGAAGCGACAATGCCTTCTCTGAGTTTTCGTAGAGCTACCAGAATACCGGAGAGATCGTTGGCGCTTGACATATTGTCGGTGGGAATGAAACGCGAGGCTCCAGCACTGCTATTAGTATATTGAGGGATTGGTATACGGCTATCGGCAGCGGGCATCGCATCAATATGAAGGGAAGATAAGCGGCGTAGAAGCTCGTCCCGTTGCCCCGCCTCGGAACAGAATGCCATGTATTTGTCCACAATATTGGTGTAGAAATTCTCTTGTGTTTTATAGTCAAGCAATCTGTATATCCGGGGGTTAGCACCGGCCGTAGTCTCTTTCACACTGGTTTCGTCTGCGAGGACTCACCGAGTATCTCCTTTTGATGGCAACCCCATGCTCTGCAGAGGATCTTGCTCTACTGGCTTCAGCCGGCCCCAAGAACTTGACAACGAGCTTTTGCTTCCTCGACCAGGCATGGTGAAACAAGTTAAATTGACACGATTATTGACGAATTGCCTAGCCTGATGTTTGTTCCGCTAAATAGTCGCATGCGCATCAGTATACGAACTTTGCTTCTAGTAGCACCGAGTGGGAAGATTGAAGTGTGGGTGGAAGTGGAATTTATTAGAGCTCGGGGAAGCTGCCCCTCCACAGGTCTGGTTTATCTTATCATTAACCTGCAAGAAATTGGAGCGCTAGCTTGGAATAATATATAAAGAGGATGGGTACAGACAGCACCGACATGTTGCAGCCATTAACTGAAATTCAAATTTCGCTTGAGAACCATTCAAACACACTCTTTTGATAACTTTGTGTTTTTGGAAACTAAACGCAATATAATTATCTAGGTAGTATAGTATCACGATTTTGGCCATGTATGAGGCACTTTGACAAATAGACTATGTGCCATATGCTTTTTAGCTAATGTCAAGTCATAGATGATTAGTACATATTGTAATAGTGCGGCCACGGCCAGGTCCTCAGCCAATTTTCACATCTCGAATTACCCTTCAGTAAATAGGCACATAAAGAATGGACCTGTTGTGTCCACCAAAGTTTGCTTCTCGTGGTATGGTACAATTGGGTATCAAAGCTCTTCCACCACGACATTCGATAAAATTCCCACTAAACATAATTTTGTCGCCAACACATTTTTCCAGTCGCAATTGTGCCTACGCGTGCATACGATCCGCCAGCGTCACTTTATCCCAGTTCGCCGGGCCGGCTGCCTCGAATGCCCCCCTCTTGGAAATGACCCTTCCTAAGCCTTGATGTATCTCGGCCTGGAAAGGTTCAAACGGGATTCTCTCGCCATCAATACTAATATAACCATCTTTTTGGTTTCTGGGTACAATGCGGTACGCAGATATCTTTTTATACTGTACGTGTGGGTTGTCGAAGAATTTTCCAGACTCGACTGAATACAAGAGCTTAGTGGCCGTGATAGGAGAGAGATCCCCATTAACTGTAACAAGGTCCATGCAGCCGTCGCTGGCCATTGCGGCAGAGAAGAAGTTTGCGTCCGGTGCCATGTAGGCCATCTGCACTGGAGTTAGTCACAAATGCTACGAAAGACAAAGATAATAGCCGGGCCAGCTTACATTTCCACAGTAAAAGTTGCCAATTTTATCGTACTGCACAAGTTCCCAATCATCTGGTAGTTGGTCTTGAACGGTGCCGTATTTGAGTTGCGGGAGACCTTTACTGCCGACTTGTCCTGTAGCAACAACATCTGGAGGGAGCTGTTTGGCCCCTGCACCGTTGGTATGCCACTTATAGTGAGCCTTGATGTCGCTTTTCTCACCAACTTCAATTTTGACAGCTAAATCACATGGGTAGCATCGGCGTCGAAATATTCTCATCAAAACACCAACCTCAAATCTTGAACCGCCCATCCAGCGAAGATGTTCAGTCCCAAGGTCACTCTCTGCAACGATCCCCAGAGACTGGGAGAGAAATGACAGGAAGCGACGACTGCCTTGCGTAATGGAGACGAGATCGAGGGGGGTAGTGATGCCCTTAATGATTGCCAACGCCGCAAACGATGGTCGGTATGAACCATAGAGGTTGCAGGACATGGCGTTGCCTGACCCACAAGGAATATGGCTGACGGCAATCTTGGCCAAGGCATGGGCAGCGTCAGGACGCCTTGCCAGGCCGTTAAAGATTTCATGAGGAGTGCCGTCGCCAGAACATGCCATAATGGTATCGTATTTGTCAATATCGACTTGTTCAGCGAGATCTGTGGCCTCTCCGCCCCGTGTCAATGTGACGACGTCCAGCTCCATGCGGGCAGCAACGAAAAGTGGCTTGACCTCGTTGCTCCATTTGCGCAGAGCGCCTCCTGGGCCGGCATGGGGATTAATGAGTACATATGCTCTTTTTCGAAGCTGAGAATCCCCATATGCCCGTTCAAGAACACGGGCCGCAAATTCTTCTGGCTGCGAGCTACCTGGAGATTCGTTGTCTTTCGCAAGCGCAAATGCCCACCTCTCAAGTTTGACATGCGTCTTTGACGACTGTGCCGCATAGTCAATGAAGATATTACCATTGGCAGTTTCTATCCATACGACGTTATAAAGTGGCACCTGTCGCTTGCCAGAGGAATCTACTATTCATGTCAGCTAGCCACCTCACTCTCACCGGGCGTCTATGCCTTGGAGGTTCTAACCTGTCAGGATAGATCTGCAGACCGATCGAAGTCTGCTCTTAGAAATTGGCTCTATCAAATGTCAATACAATTGACATTGAAGAGTTGATTGATTTGAAGGTATTACCAAAAACTGTAAGGAAGTTCCCGCTTGCAGGTAGAGACAAAGTCTTCTTCTCGTCCATACTTATATACAAAGCGTCCCTTATGAAGGGAGCATTTCCGTTTTCCATTGCTGCTGGCCCGGGGGGAAGGGGTGGTATTTGCATGAGAGACGTAAAAACACAAGGCAAGGAAGCATGCAAAGTGAGTCTGTTGCGGCGCCAGTGCCTGCACACACTTCTGCCAACTTGACAGGGCTAACTTGATAGGCTAAGCAAGTAAATGAAATGAGGGATCGAAAAAGAGAAAAAAGAAAAGAAAACGAGCGAAAGAGGACGCGCAATAACTTGACAGAATACAGTGTACGGGCTGCGCGGAAAGGAGACAGATGCCAGGCTCCTCAGAAAAAATGAAGCCAGGAAGGATGACCAGGGGACTGGAGGAGTCTGGTATGTTGTCTGGTCGTCCGCGGTCGGCTGTACCCTGCCGACAAGACTGACGGCCTCAGTGCTACTTAAAAGCAAAAGTACCTGTACTTACTTGAGTGTACAGTACGTTTCCAAGTAACCAACCAGCATTGATCTGGCCAACCGGTGACGGCGTTTGATACCTACCTGCGTTCTTTAGGGTCTGGTAAAAAATTATTTGAGCACACAAGAAAGTCGACTATCCCGTGTGTTACTAAAATATATTGCAATTCTCTGTGTCTTTTTATGGTAGACTTGGTGATAAGGAAATATGTCTTCGTAGTTGCCAGTGACCGCACCATCCTGTTACACCGAGCCAGGTGCGCAGATGCCTCAGCCTCTTCTACTAGGTACCTAAAGTATCTAGTAGCGATGGGGGATCTGTTCAATATGACTACATTTAACTGGAACTTTAAACTAGCAGCACCAGCGCTACTCTGCTGGCTGGCATATCTGGATGGCGAGCACCTGAGAGCCTCAGAGCCCAGCGGGGCCTTTGTAGTCTCGGAGTTCGTTCCATTTCAAGTGCTCGCTCGGACTGCGCGGGCTCCCTCAGTCTCCACGGTCCCTACGGCTTAAATCATAGATACCTACCTAGGTACTTAGGTAGGGGCTAGGTAACTTACCTGGTATTAAAGTCCGGAGTATGTACATGTGAGTGAATTGAACCCTAGCCCGTAACTCTCACGGCCCTTTCGACGCCTACTGACCTGGAGTCGCTTGTCCACATCGGCCGCTAAAGAAATTTGAACCCTTATAGGCAAGTCCGTACGAGATCCCAACAACCTGTGGCACCAGACCCGCCGACCAAATGAAGTTGATGCGCCGTAGCTTTATGGCCACCTGCACATGTTCTCATTCGGAGAGGTACGCAGTACGAAGTTGTGGAGGGGGTCAACTTGTCAAGTCAGATCTTTCGTCCTGCCCCTACCTATTCTTGAAGAAGATGACCAAGATCTCAAGTGCTGGACAAGCCTCTTGTGATCACGCATTAGTGTTCTTACTAATGTCCCCTTCGCTTAGGTCTGGCGAGCTCAACACGATCAGTGGCTTTGTACGCGCTGAATGACGACCTTTTTTTTTTATACATAGGACTCTTCTACCTCTCGAATCCGACGTTTAACTGATATAATAATAGCATACATTGTATCCCCTCACGTGGCTTATAGATCCTTCGTCACATCAGAAACCATGTGCAGCTCTAAATTACAGCGATAAGGCCATATATTGGAGTCCCGGAGTGCTCCCAACACAAGACGCCGTATCACCATATCCAGCTGTAGTGACCCGTAGGTAAGTATGCCTGTTCACGCCGGTCGCCATCATAATTGCGAAATCTCCTTCTGTGCTACCCCTCTCCTTCTCAATTGATTTTGCAGCGCTCGACCGTTGTTTTAAGAATGAGACCGTCTCATTCCACACTATGTCGCTATAAATAAGGGTTAAATGGCAATCCCATTCTTGTCTTCCGGACTGAATATCCCTTCTCAAAGAGCCTTGACTTCCGTAGTCAAGGCTTCTGACACCTTTTGCGGTAGATTGGCGATGGATTTGAACGTATATTCAAATACAGAACACTGTTCCTTTGTCCTGGGATTCGAGGGGTCAATTGCCAATGCAGAATGAAGACATCGAAGCGCCGGGAGGAGTTTTCCTGCCACCTGTTAGTTATACTTTGATCCAGAGAAAAAATGGCTAGTTGACTTGGGCCGTCATCACTCACGTCGGCGGATATAAACCTCGAAACCTGCATGCTGAGCGTCGATACTCCTTGGGCAAGCCTGGAGTAGTGGACTGAGAAATTTCATCGCCTCGCCGAGAGGGTCTGTGGTAGCAGCAAGCTTCAAACCTAACGGATCATCATCCTTCTTCTTCGCTTCACCACTTTGAGTGCCCTTGTTTGGGTCCTGCTTGGCCTGCTTCTCGGCCGCCTCTCTCTCCAAGCGCTGAAGTTCCTTCTTCGCCTTCTTCGCCGCCTTCTTCTTCGCCAGTGCATCGTCTCCATTTTCACCGCCATTTCCATTGACCCCATTTGTAGACGCCTTGTCTGCTATTTCCACATATAAGTTGATGGCATCGAGTGCAGCCCGTGAATAGAAGGGGTGGTCACGGATATGGTCTTCCCATTGAATCATTTCAACATAGGCTCGAATCTGGCCTTTTCTTAGGGAGAAGCTGTGGAAATCAAATTGATCCTCTTGCCAAACATCAAAGATGTTAGCCACGGCATGAAAGCGTTTCAGAGCGAGGCCTATATTTCCTCGTCTAGCATAAGCCTCACCGTCTTCTGTCAGATACCAGACGCACTGCATATCCAAAAGATCTGCTAATGGACCCCCTGCAGTGTCTGCCCGTGTGAACAAGCCGACTGTCTTGAGCGCTCGATCGTTTTCATTGTTTCGAAGTTGATATTTTGCAGCCTTGCTGTTGATATAACGGTCTTTGAGATCGAGCTTTCGCGCTATGTCCATCATCTCCGTAGCCCTCTGAATCTCACCGCTGTGCTTTAGGATTCTCGCTTTCGTCATGTGAAAATCAACGCTCTTGGGATCCTTTTCAATGGCCTTTTCAATGTAGCTCATAGCCTTGGTCAAGTCTCTGCTGAGATGGTAGTTATAGTGCTGAGCTAAGAAGTAGAGTGCCGCGGCTTCTCCCTTGTCCTTACTAGTTGATAGCGTAGACTCAGATTGGAGGTACTTTTCCGCAAGCGAAGCTAGAGCATTCTTTTTAACCGAATCAGAGTACAGATGCTTCAAATTTGCGAACGTGGAGGGCACGCCCTTGTTCAACATTAGCGTGAGGTAGGCCTCGGCTGCTTGGTTGAACTCGTCACCTATTTTTTGTAAGCCGTCATATCGAAAAAGTGAAGGCTCTCCAATTATTTATACTGACCGGAGAGAAAGTCTAGGGGAATTCGTTTGGCCGCATCACATCGGGGGAACTTCTCCGCATACTCATCATACAGCGCTTTTCGTGCCCTTGAACCATTTGGGGAAATTTTCAAAGCAGATGCCAACTTCTCGTAGTACACTGCATGATCCGGATTTCGATCGAGCAGCGCTCGGTAAGCCGTAGCGGCTTCTTCACTCCGCCCCAGTTTGGCCAAGTATTCGGCCTTGCTTTCCATCACGGCCAGCCGATCCAGATTGTGCTTGCATGCAGTATTCAAATGTTCCAGGGCACGCCCACAGTCTCCTTGCGCAGAAATCAACGAGTTTTTATACATGACTGCCTCTGAATGTTCGACATCGTTACGTGACGGCGTAGCCTTGAGAGTGCCTTCGTAGGTTGTCAAGACATTTTCCGCCTCGGCCAGATTGCCGGCGAGATGATTGGCTATGGCAAGAGCAGTCCAGTTCTGGCGGAGCTGCGGCCGAGCTTGGAGCATGGAGTTGCGGCTGTGAATATACCCTTGGAAATCCCGCATTTGAATCTGGAGAATTGCCAGATCCCTCTGGATTTGTGCCGACTCTGGTTCCAACTTGAGAGCAAACTTATAGGCCTTGATGGCTTCTTCGAAATTCTTATTCGAACGATAGAGTAGCCCGTAGACGTGCCAACAAATATGTGACTTCATATCCGCAGTCAATGCTTCCTTGGCGAGAGCAAATGCTTCCTCGGTTTTGCTCTGGCTGTTAAGGATCAGGGCTTTCATGGCCATTGTGTCTCCATGCTTCGGGTTCTTTTTCAAAATGAGATCTGCTGTTTTAAGCCCACGCTTGTATTGTTTGTCTTCATAACTGCGGATGACTTGTCGGAACTGCGCCGCTTCCTTCGGCGCAAGTTGCTGCGGCATGGTGACGGTGATCTGTGCTACTTTTTCGGAGGATGGGAGTTTCGGCACAGACGGGAGAGAGTTTGCGGTTGTTCAATACTATACGCGATCTTGAAATTAGAGATTGACCCGACTGAAAATTGGTTCCAGGAATGCTTTCTGGTTTAGTAGCTACTGACGTATGAGCAACGAAACTGGTGGACGGGCGCTGGGGGTATGGTAGCCGACAGAGTGAGTTGGCCAACATCAACTGATGGCATGTGATTAAAATAGTATCACAATTGTTTCTGCGCCGACCGAAGAAGGGGAATGTGCCCTGGCGATATGCAACTGCCGTCAAATGGTGCGATAGCGGACAGGCAGATCTTATTGCTGCGGTGGTAAGAAACCAAGCTTTTTGGCTCTGAAATCGGCGGATCTTCGGATGAGTCTGGTGTTTGTATTAACAGCTCCAGGACGGAGTACATGCTCAAAGTTGTGTGGGCAGGTGGAAGTGGGCGAGACAGGTGGGGGTTCTTAACCAAAATGCAGCACACACACATCGACGCGCACTCGGGTCACTGGTGGCTACTCCAACATTGAATATTATTAGTCCCTGGCAAGATACCTAACTTACCTTACCTAAGTACTTAAGCACCTAGGTACTTAAGTAAGTAGGTAGTTACCTAGGTACCTACTTAGTAGATAGGTTCCTGCGGTGTAGTAGTGTCTGGTTCGCTAGCACGAGCATTTTGCACCTCGTCAATAATTAATCGAGTCAATGCTCACCTACGGTACTTTGCGTGTTATAACTTAAACCCACTGACTTTGTGCCAGTGACTCACGCCGAAAACCCAAAATAGCACACACATTGCGCCCTGTTATACATGAGATCTTTAACAAGGATTTTTTTTTTTTGAATGCAGGCTTGGTGCAGTAGCCAAAGTCATCTCTTTCAGATTAAGCCGCTGGGTCAATTACTCCTAGAACCATCATCAAACCCACATGTCCTCATAGCGGCTTGCCAGGTATCGTGAGGAGAATAATTACATCGCTCCTGAACAACACTCCAAGTACGGTTGCGTATTATTTCTTCGACGCCACGCTCTTGGCGGACGAGGCTGGCCAGAATCCGGGTTCGAGGTTCCCGGAGAAAGAATCGGCTCGAATATGGATCTAGTCGCTCATCTACGACTCTTTCACGATTCTTCTGCTCTTCAATGTCTCGTAGGGTTGCCTCTGGGTCATCAGGATCAGGGCTAGCCGCAATAAGTGCGCAGTAATTCAATACCTCAGTTCTGGCCTGCCAGGCTGGAAAAAGCACCGCTGTCTTGAATGATTTGCAAGCCTCAGAGCCTATAGGTCGCGAGCCGGAAGCAGGAGTTCTCTGAGACGTTGAGCTCGGGTCGAATCCAGGATGTGAAGGCGTAACCAACGCATTCAGGTTCTCTGTGATGGTATCGTCGACAGCCGATCTCGAGAGTCGAAGAAAGTCTGCAAGCCGGTCAGCAGAGACTACTATTGACGGTATACGCATACGAAGAGATGGAATATACCACGAAGAGCCCCCGACGAGAAGCACAGTTGTGGCGATAGGCTTGGTCGATGTGGGAGCTCAGTCATAATGTGTGGTTGACGCGATTGTACTGCCTGCGCGGCAGCTACGGGAGCGTTGCCGTTCGAGGCGGCCGATGTAGATTTCCAAAAGATATCCAGTTTGTACGGCAAGTCACGAGGTCGTCAAATGAAAAACTCCAATTTTGGGTGTAGTTATATATGAAGCATACCTCCAAGGTACGTTGGTTACGTCGCCGAAGTTCTCTAAAGGCGAGTAGAGGTTGGAAAGCGATGGTAAAGCGTGCAGGTACCTCAATCAGCCGCCATGTCCGGAGTAGGCGCATATTGATTATTAAGTTCCCACCACCTGCAGGGACTTGCCTCCATGTACTCCGTACCGTCTGGTACTTGAGTAGTAGTGCCTGTTATTTGGTGCCTAAATAAAGTGGAGTTGTGCAGTATGATACTTAACGTTGTTGGCAGCTTTGTGACTGGCCAGAGACTGTCTTGCATCCTCTGAATTTCGCGAGCCGAAGAAGAGCTGGCTTCTAATGACCAGTGGCTTCTTGTACCAGCGGCGAGTTGCCCTGATTCCTCAAAACTGGCTGACGCGCTGCCCAGCTTAACTACAAATTTATACATAAACCTACTTAAGTACCTACCTAGGTAGGTACCTAGGTACCTGCTAGGCAGGTAGGCAGCAGTAAATCTCTATTGAAACCAAAGACAAATTAGAAGTTCCTGGTCAAATATTGAAAGCATTGGTTAGACTTTCGGCATTATCGTAGGTGCACTGGCAATTGGTACAAACTAGGAGTAGCTGAGATCTGCGGCAGGAACGGGGTGGCTTTTGTGAAGCTAAGAACATTAGAACTGGATGACGACAGTGGGGGAGCGAGGGGGGGAGCAGGAGCGGGGCAAAAATTGCTCTGCGGCCAATGGACAGAGCAGTGTCGCGTGTGGCCAGCCACTACACAAACTTACAGGGAGCACTACATACATTACGTGCGTGATCCAAGGCAAACTGGTCATGCTGAGGTTTCCAAAAGCCGGTTGTCGTGTTATTTCTTTATCGATAGGGCGCAAAGCAACATTCTCTTGTTCATCTAACCTAAAACCTATGGCAAGATATATATGAGCCTATCGCTAAGCATACATTGGCGTCATACACTATATTATCGTACGTGATACGATGCCCAAACGCACTGTTTTGGCTAAAGACAGTTTCCCTCCCCCACTCTCTGGACGCATAGACTGACATGACCGACGAATCGTCTTGACTTGTGCCGACTAGTACAATAAAGTGCCTGATTCCGCATAACCCTTGACAACAAAATTCCACCAACGCCACGATTTTGCCGTTTTACATGACTTGCTGGCAGATCCGTCACTCCATCATTGCCTACGCCAGCTACCACTCATCTCATTCAACCCATTCCTGTTGAATTCAAGTTTGGCGGACCGAGTTTTGCCTCTCTTTGTGAACCGCCATGTCGTCTTCTGGATCCACGGCTGCGGCGCAAGCCAGTAGTGGAAGCTGGTCAGCCTTCCTGAAGGTACGGGAACATTACATCATTTGTCCTATGAACGCGGCACCCAGGACCCCTAGCTGACACGGTTTCCTATTAAGTCAATCGCCTCCTTTAACGGGGATCTTTCGTCTCTCACTGCGCCGCCGTTCATCTTGTCGTCCCAATCTCTGACCGAATTCTCTTCATATTGGGCAACCCATCCGCCCATCTTCACCGCTCCTGCTGCTGAAGCCGACCCCGCCAGGCGCGCTGTTCTCGTGTTGAAATGGTTTCTTTCAACACTTAAACATCAATATGCCAGTAGAAGCGAACAGTTTGGCAACGAAAAGAAGCCTTTGAACCCGTTTCTTGGCGAGCTGTTCCTAGGCACTTGGACTGACGAAGCTGGAGAGACCACGCTCATTTCGGAACAAGTCAGCCACCATCCTCCCGCGACTGCGTATTGCATCCGCAACGACAAGACTGGGGTTCAGCTGGAAGGATACAATGCCCAAAAGGCCACGTTTAAAAGCACCATCATTGTAAAGCAAATTGGTCACGCCGTGCTGACAATCCCGGTTGGACCTCGTGATAAACAAGAGCATGAACATTATCTAATCACACTTCCATCTCTTCATATCGAGGGTCTTATTTTTGGCACACCTTTTGTCGAGTTAGACGGGTCAAGCTACATTAGTAGCTCCAACGGTTATACTGCCAAGATCGATTACAGTGGCAAGGGCTGGCTGTCGGGTAAGAAGAATAGTGTTATCGCTACTCTTTATCCCACAGGCAACGAGAAAGAAGTATTATATAACGTTACAGGCCAATGGACCAAAGAATTTGAGATATATGAAGGTCCTGCCAAGAAGAACTCACCAGCCACATTGTTTGCTACATATGACGCCGTTGGGACCGCTCAGACTGAGCTTAACGTTTCCCATATAGATGATCAGTACCCTCTCGAATCTCGTCGGGCTTGGGCTAGAGTTGCGAAAGCTATTCAAGTCGGCGATATGGATACGGTGTCGGTTGAAAAAGGAAAAATTGAGCAAGCCCAGCGAGATCTGCGAAATAAGGAACGATCTGAGGAGCGGACTTGGGAGCGGCGTTATTTTTCGTCCGTAGCTGAGGACCAGGTTCTGAAAGAGCTAGGCGATGCTGCTGGGATTCCTTTGAATGGTGAAGAGGATAAGACAGGTGGCCTATGGAGATTCGATGCAGAGAAAGCCGCTAAGGCGTCTGCCGAAAAGCTCAGCAACGAGCAAGTACAGGAGATTGAAAAAGAAGTGCTTGGACAGTAGACCCTTGGGTGTGGATAATACGAATCATCAAGCGTTTCGTTTTGCAGCTATGTCGCCTGCCAGATCTGTTATCGGAGACAATGTACCTGGCTATCTTGCACCACATGTTGTGATTTTCTGTGGCTTATTCTGGAACATCCTGGTAGAATGCGGCATAATTGGCGACAGGCGAATACATCTCGCAAAAGTCTGCAACTGGCCCTGATATTTGCACACGGCTGAGATGATCATGGGTTTCTCTATGCGTTTTTTAATAAGTTGTGCATATCATTGGGTGGGCATGGTGGATAATCTGGATGTTGTTGTAATGAATGTGTTTCTCGAGCACATAAATCAAACCAAGTCACTTTCTAACATTAGCCGATGTCGCTGAGTTTTTCAATTAATTTTACTCCATTTTGAATTCAGCTGATAGTATTCTTAACTGTTTGTAGTCATCACGCCCCCGAACCGCCCCTACCACAACATAGAGAAGTTTTCGTATTTTAGGCAAGTACCTACACCTGCCCAGCACAGCTGAAGTCCTTAAGAGCCTCAGTAACACGGGCAGACATAGTTTTCTCCCCCTCGCGGACCCAAACACGGGGCTAAATCCTATACATTAGCAGCTTCTCGACCACGGAATGGAAGCAGCAAGTACATCGAAAACAGATCGTTTGAAGGTTAGCACTTACATCAAAAAATTTCTTGTTGGGTTTGTCTTGGCCATCGGGGTTGCCAACAGCAGTGAGGAGGTAGTCCTTCTTGTTCAGCATATAGTCGCGGATGCCACTCATGTAGGCAAACTGCATATCAGTGTCCATGTTGACCTTGACGACGCCGTGGCTGATGGCATCGAGGTACTCTTTCTTGCTGGACCCAGAGCCACCGTGGAAGACAAAGTAAACAGGCTTGTCCTCCTTGGACTTGATGGCTTCCTTGACGTGAGCCTGGTGCTTGCCGAGCAGCTCGGGGTGGAGCTTGACATTCCCGGGTTTGTAGACGCCGTGGACATTACCGAAGCCAGCAGCAATAGAGAAATATGGAGAGATGGGAGACAAGGTCTTGTAGATGTTGAGAATATCCTCAGGTTGGGTGTAAAGAGACGCGTTGTCAACGTCTTCATTGTTGACACCATCTTCTTCGCCGCCAGTGATGCCAATCTCCATCTCGAGCCACTGCTTCATCGGAGCCGCTCGCTTAAGATACTTGGCGGTAGTCTCGATATTCCAATCGACAGGTTCCTCTGAGAGATCGATCATGTGTGAGCTAAACAGGGGCTCGCCATGGGCCTTGAAGTGAGCTTCATCAGCGTCGAGCATGCCGTCGAGCCATGGCAGAAGCTTCTTGGCGCAGTGGTCAGTGTGGAGAATTACTGGGATGCCGTAAGAGGGAGCAATGCTACGAATGTATTGGGCACCCGCAACAGCACCAGCGATGGAAGCGGCTTGGTCGGTATTGCTCAGACCCTAAAACAATGTCAGCAGCCTCGCAGCAAAAGCCAGGAGATGGTACACCCACCTTGCCGCCGAAGTAAGCAGCACCTCCCTGCGACATCTGGAGGATGATGGGAGCTTTGGCATCGCGGGCAGCCTCAAGGGACGCAACCACAGTTGAGGATGAAGTGACGTTCTATTATCACATTGGGATCAGCGTTGTGAGAATATAGCGAGGAAGCACTAATAAATGCCGGGGTTCAACGCAGACGTACAATGGCGGGGACTGCAAATTGCTTCTCCCGGGCGTACTGAAACAGTCTCAGGACATCGTCTCCCACAATGACGCCAGACTTTCGGCTCAGCACATCGGTAACGCCCATGGTCGCGGTTGTAGAATAAGATATTTGAGTTGACTGTCAATTGGCGTTGTGAGAAAATGAGAAAGTCGACAGCAATGGGTTAGGATCGGAACAGAGAGGGTGTGAGCACTTCTAGAGATCGGGAGAAAGTACCAGTTTGGTCAGCAAATTGCTCAGTTTTTGGATGCTGTGGGATTGGAGGGGTAGATAAAGTAGGATGAAGGGGCGCGTGGGGGTTTCCGGTGTTTTTAGGTAGCACTGGGGCATCGCTATCGCTATCGCAACTTGGAGGGGCAGCCAGGGGGGCACACTGAGCGTAATAAGAGGGCCGATGGTGCCTTGAGATTGCCCTTCCATCATTGATGTCTGGTCAAGCACACCAAGCAGCACCACTGGACCTTCAGAGAGCTCATGACATCAAGAATGAGGTCAGAACAATAGGTCTGGAGGCCGGCGACCGGGCGGTCCAAATATCCCTCGTTGCCAATTGGTGCGCCGAGTCAAGGACTGTTGACCATCTGAGGTTTGGCATTGGACTGACCCACGATTTTCAGGCTACTGACCGCATGGTAACATGCTTGAGCTATTATTTGATCGGTCCGTTGCGAGTGATGAAGCCGTTGCCCGAAAACACAAGTGCTGGTTCTAACTCCGTACTGTCTGGTGGGTCTGAGGGGAAGAGGGGTTGGCTCAACACTTACACAAGTACCCAACAATGGAATTGGTGAAGAGTGAGATGTTGGTAGAGCGTTCGATGTTTCGAAGTCAGTCTGGATGGATGATAGAGGGGAAAGGAACAAAGTCAGGAAGCCACATGGAAAAGAGAGGAGGTTGCGGGGCAGCAAATTTTGGGTTTAGGAAGTCGGCACGGGGCTCGTCATTCCCGGGAAAGCCTCCTGTTGTAACCGACGCTTCGGCTTGTTGGACGGAAACATACGGGACATCTGAACAACCCAATCTCAGCACAGTTTCTGGGAAGATGTAGTATTTGCGTAGCGTTGCCGGGTGTACCACAGTTTACCACGGTACAGAGTGCGATGGCCGTGTATTCCTGCTAGTATATGATCTGTTTGTCTCCCGCTCTCTTGTAAGCGCCGGCGAGGGTGCGGATTCTGGAATTAGGGCGCATGAGCTTCAATGTTCCTACCTACGTCAGTAAGTACATACCTGGGTATTTATAGTTCAACGGAGAGTCATTCTAACTACCTGCGCTGAGGCGCTAAGAGAAAGGTATTGAAGTTGAAATTTAATCCTGCTTCGTCTTTCTTCCGCTCGAGCCAGGCTTGAGTTTTGTACCGTTGACGGATAGCATGGAGGGCAAAGACCCTTTGGTTGGTGGTATCCGAGTCCCATCATGAATGGCCTGGTCTACATTTACAAGAACATTCTTCTGGCCCTTGCCCCCGCCCCCGAACGGAACAATTTCCATGTGCAATAGCAAGCGCCGTGATTTGTCTACGCGTGCCATACCACCCATATATTAAGTCGGGTAGATATTCTGCCGGGCGTCGACGGGCAATTGCTTCAACATTCGATGCTCGGCTGCTCCACCGAAGGAAGGCTCCAACATTGACAGTACTAGAGTCTTCCATCATTCCTATGCGAAGGCGAAACCACTGGTAGGGCATCAACTACGTACATTCCATGTTCCAACAAGTGAATTACAAATCTAGGCACCTGTGTAGGTACTCAGATAAAGGTATATTCACCCAGAGTATGGCCACAGACGGTCAGAACGCTTGATTTCCCGCCAAGTCCAGCGGATCTACTTTTATTTTGCTACGATAATATTGGAATGGTTGAACCAGTTGAGCCCGAATTGGGAGATGGTGCTCGTAGGGTATGGTCATGCAATCTGTACCAGATATACCTAGGGTATGCTTTTAAAGCCACCCGGAGATTTTGCGAGCATTTCCTATAATTAATTACACACACTGACATGATGCATATGTGCATGATATGCGGGTCTGGCACCACGCCTTATTTTTCGGCTGTCCAATAGTCTGAATCACCAGGCCGCTTAGTCATTCCGAGATTGTACCTTTTGACATCTCATAAGAATTGATCTACCTTGCCTCCAATCCCGCCATCTGGGCCTTGTGTCCAGTCCAGGATACAGTATGGCGACACCACAGACTTCCGCCTCGCTGTTCAGCCCCGACGTTCTCTTCGATAACCCGGTTTTCGCAGGCGGCATCGGTCTTGCCTCTATCGGCGCTGCCGCTGCCTTTGCTCGTAGGGGCGCTATTGTGGCCTTTGGAGCTGCTCGGCGACGACTCCTCGTCAACGTTGAGATCAGCAAACAAGATCCCGCCTATCCCTGGATCCTTGCTTGGTTATCTCAGCCGCGTGAGGCCGCTGGTTTCATCGCCTCCCGCATCACCCGAATTCATAATTTGTCTGTTACCACGACGACAACACACACAAAAGGCCCTTATGCTGGAGGTCCTGTCAATGCCAGCTTTTTCCTCCAGCCCGGATATGGGCGACATGTGGTTAAATTTGGCAATGCATACATTGCCGTTAGCCGGGAAAAGCATAGCACCGCCAATATGAATACGGGTGAGCCCCACGAAATCGTTCAGCTGACAACGCTTTGGGCCTATCGCCATACTTTCGAGGGAATATTTGCCGAGGCTCATCGCTTGGCTGCTAAGGCAAACGAAGGGAAAACCGTAGTATACTCGGCTCGAGGGATGGAATGGGCTCCTTTGGGTGATCCGAGAAAGAAAAGGCCGCTTGGTTCCGTGATCTTGGACGATGGGGTCAAGGAAAGCATTGTTGCGGATGTCAAAGACTTTCTCTCCCGCCAGGGATGGTATGTAGACCGTGGGATCCCGTACAGGCGAGGTTATCTCTTATATGGGCCGCCAGGAAGTGGGAAGAGTTCATTCATACAAGCTTTGGCAGGCGAACTTGACTTTGGTGTGGCCACAATCAACCTCAGTGAAATGGGTATGACCGACGACAAACTGGCGTACTTGCTGACAAAGCTGCCTAAGAGGTGCTTGTTGCTCCTGGAAGATGCGGATGCTGCATTTGTGAACCGTCGGCAGCGTGATGCTGATGGGTATAGTGGTGCAAGCGTCACCTTTTCCGGCCTACTAAATGCACTAGATGGTGTTGCGGCCGGCGAAGAGCGGATAGCCTTTCTCACCACGAATCACATCGAGCGACTAGACCCAGCACTGATCCGACCTGGCCGTGTGGACATGATGCTGAGGATTGGTGAAGCGACTAAATACCAAGCCGGGCAGATGTGGGATCGTTTTTATGGCGATGAGGACAACAGTGGTTCTAGGAAAGAGCACTTTCTACGTCGCCTGGATGAGTTAGGATTGTTTGGCACGAGCCCCGATGGCACTCCTTCCAACCGGCGGACGAGTACGGCGGCAATTCAGGGTCTGTTCTTGTTCAACAAGAGCAATATGCAAGGAGCCATCGACATGGCTCAAGGGTTGATCCCCCGAAAATTTGAAGATGATGCAGCTTCTGATACAGCACACAAATGATTTGACCAATAATTCATTGTGGTTTCATTATTATAGGGATGGGAACGCGTGAAGAGCGCAGCTGGGGATATTTGTATAGCATAGTGATACCCCCTAGAAAACCAAGCCTAGATGTACTATTATTTAGCATTGAGAATGATGTGGTGTAGCCTGGGAAGGCATTGATGTAGAGACAAAATTGAACCTGTCTCCATGATTAAGAGAGTGTCGACTGTAGCATGTAAACTAGAGATAAAATTCGCCAAAAACGAATGACAATAATCTCTCGTTGGCGTTGCTGCACTCAGCCATTTACAGTTGACGCCTGAATGATGAGGCGTGTGATGGCGCTTGGTAGTAATCCCACTGTGGCTGAATGACGAGCGACAAGCTGATGCCTGCTGTGCTAATGTCGAAGTCACACCGACCATAGAAACGTATCCAAAATCTCAACTTTGGCTTAACATTAGTTTCACTTTTTTCTATCCCCAAGCATTTCGGGTTTCACCTGGCGCAAATCAGAACTGCCGCGCTATAAACGAAGGACACGGCTGCCATGTCGCCTGCGGACCAAGGTACCATGGACCACTGGGTATCATCCACCAAATCGACCACCGTGCGAAGGGCTTCGCTCAACCCAACCTCACGACCTCCTGTGTCCATGTCTGGACAGGCACCGAGGTACGACCAGAGTTCCAGGCAGAACCAGGATCTAGCAACGGTGGCCAAGGAAACGAGGATTGTATTACCCAAAATTTTACAGAGGCTTCCCAACATACAAGCAGCAAAGTCCGAGGCCCTGTATCTTAGCACCCTGTCACCACTCAAGGCTGCAGAGTGCCCGCGTCGCACTCCGAGTCGGAAAGTCGCCATTAAAATAGTAAACGACGACTCATTCAATGCAGCCATCAAACTTACCGCCTCGAAAGGCGTTGCATCAGCTGGACGGGTTGTCGTGCTCAACATGGCAAGCCATGCGAATCCCGGCGGGGGATGGCTGAAAGGAGCCAGAGCCCAAGAAGAAGCACTTTGCTACCGCAGCTCCCTATCGTTATCGCTTCATCGCCGCTACTATCCGTTTAAGCAGCTCATGGGCATATATACCCCCGATGTTGTTGTTATTCGTTCCGACATGCCCTCTGGCCATAAACTCTTGACCCCCGACATCCCGGTGCAAGACCTTCCAGTAGTGAGCGTGCTGAGTATTGCGGCTCTGCGATGCCCCGAAACAAAACGCTTCCGGGGCAACACACCATCAGGCAAAGTCTTTGAAAGACTAGCATACGCAAACCCTGCAGACCGGGAAATGACCAAGGCTAAGATGAGGCTCTGTCTCAGAATGGCGGCACGCAGAGGTCACGGCTTGCTTGTTCTAGGCGCCCTCGGCTGCGGCGCGTTCAAGAACCCAAAGGAGGAGGTTGCGCAATGCTGGCTTGATGTTTTACGCGAGACTGAGTTTCAGGGAGGCTGGTGGGAGGAGGTATGGTTTGCCATTTTTGATAGTCGGCAGGAAGGGAATTTCGAGGTGTTTGAAGATGTTTTGGGAGGAGTGGAAGTGTAGGTGCACTTTGTGCAAGCCAGAATGCAAACAATCATTAGCTTTACGACTCCGAGGACATGGCAGTTATTCATGTAAGTCTGGCCAACGAATTACCTACCCAGGTAGGCAGGCACATCGGTGAGGCGCCCGATGTAATTACATGTTGGGAGGATGAAGCCATTGTGCCAAGCTGTATCGAGTGTCAACTACCTAGGTACCTACTTGTAGGTACTTAAGTACTCACTCCGTACTCTATATACATGTAGCTAAGTACCTAGGTAGGTAGGATCCACCCTACCACACAGACTGTCTAGTCCATTCAATTGATGGTAATAGTTATCGTACCTGGCTGGCTGGGCAGTTGGAGTGTCAAGTTCATATTTCTATTGACCCTTCAGTTATGGTAAAATTCCAAGGTTCGGTTCCCGCTTTTACGTACGGAGGACCCCGACGTCGAATCGATATTTCGCTTTTCGTTTCTACTTAAGTAGGTTGCAGGTGGGTCTGATGGTTGCATTAATCTGAGATCAGTTGACGAGATCTGAGCCCTGGCAGCGACGAAAGTGGTTAACGGCTGTTCGGAGCAATCGTTGGCAGGCACACCCACCAGACTCGATTGGTGTCGGCCTTTGACCATTTATAACCAGATTGACAACATTCGAGCCCTTAATAATCCAGTATTGCTTCTACAACATCGAGCAAACCGCCTCCATTGCCCCACACCATTTAGATCCCATTTTGCGTCCCGCCGTGTTAGTTGAAACACTGCGTTATTCCAAAGCCGAACACAAGACAACCGTTGACTTATGCAATTGCAGAGCCATTGGGTGGGCCACCGCCTCGGGGCCACTGCCTAGTCCGTTCTTTATTAGTCTGCGCACGCCGACTCGTGGCGCCTCTCCACGATGACGTGATGAGGTGAGCCAGGCCCAAAAAGTCACGCATTTCACGGCTGTTGTTTGATACACCGCATCAAGTTAGAAACTTGCGGTCCTTCCGCTGTTCTTCGGAAGAACGTACTGTAGTAATTTTAAAATGTCAGTATCAAGTTATTAACCCTCATCCCTGGAACGGCTGCCCACTCCAAACCCATTGGGGCCTCGTCTAGGCGGATCCGAGCATGGCGTCCCTTCAATCTCTGCGCTCTATGTCGCCATTTCCTCGACTCCCTGTTGGCTGATCCATTTCCTCAATCGCAATCACAGTGGCGCAGGTCCGGGCCGCAGAGTCAATTGGTGCAGTCAGAAATCAAAAAAGTATCAAGCATGTATGTTAACCGAATCCGTCCATTCGAGAGACGAGGGACCAGAACAAGCACGTCAGACAGGACCAGTTGGCTTCAGCACCTAGGCAAAAAAGGGACTCCCTCCCCAGGCCGTTTTCCTATCTTGCGATTTCCCATCCTTTCATCTTCTTAAGCTGGGCTGGCTGGTGGACCTTTTTTTTTTTCCTTTTCTTCCCCTTTACTCTTTTGTCCCTCCCCTCATTCGTTTCTCTCCCGTCCCATCATCTTCACCTGCCAGGAATATTATCTCTGCTTCTGTTCCTGCCGCCTCCTCTCAAGCCTGGTGTGTTGCTCCTATACTAGAGTCAAGCCCTGTCGACCCGCCTGGGCGACGGGCGCCAGCCAAGGACAAACCAGCCATGTTTTGGAAGACCAAGTCTGCCGAAAAGAGCCATGCCGAGCCTCATCCGAGAGACAGCTCGGCCGATATTTTTGACGACGAGGTAGAAAACACGCGCTTCAACACATATGGTTCGCCTCGTGATATTAGTGACGCCAGCCTCATTGACCCCGACTCGGGAGTCAAAAGAGGTCTTAAAAACAGGCACCTGTCAATGATGGCCTTGGCTGGCATCATTGGCCCTGGTTTGTTGGTGGGCGCGGGTGGCGCTCTGAATAACGGCGGCCCAGCGTCTTTAATCATTGGCTTTGGGGTTATCGGTACGTTGTTTCTTGCACCTGCGTCCGAGCCTCACCTATCCGTGTAATGTGTTGGGATTACTTCGTGCTGGCTATGACAATTACAAGCGAGTTGGGAGTCGCACAAACCAGGCTAACCGGCTCCGCGCCTCACAGGTGTCATTGCCTTTGCAATCATGCAATCCCTCGGGGAGGTGACGACGCTGTTTCCAGGAGGAGGCTCATTTGTTTCTCTGGCCGAGCGCATGGTTGACAAGTCTTTTTCCGTTGCTGTGGGATGGAATTACTTCATCATCTGGGCTGCCGTGCTGGCCAACGAATACAACGTCATTTGCAGCATCCTCACATACTGGGCTCCGCAAGTGCCGCTGTGGGGTTTCTTTCTCATCCTTTGGTTCCTTTTCACTGCCTTTCAGCTGTTGGGCGTGGAAGCTTTTGGCGAAGCTGAATTCTGGTTGGCTCTGTTTAAGATCTTGGGCCTGACTGCGTACTTCATCTTCTCCATCGTGTATGCCGCGGGCGGTTTGGTTGGTCAAACGGATTCACTGGGATTTAGGTATTGGCACGACCCTGGAGCCTTCAATGGAAACGGATTCCGAGGCGTAGCGGTCGTCTTTGTCTTCTGCTCTACGTTCTACGCTGGTATAGAATCCGTCGCTGTTGCCGCAACAGAAACAAGAAACCCCGGTGTTGCTGTCCCACAAGCGATCCGTCAGGTGTTTTGGAGAATCATTTTCGTTTACATGGGATCAGCGCTATTTTTTGGCATTACTTGTCCCGCCAATGCGGATGGCCTTGTCAACGGCGGCGCCAAGGCACTGCAGAGTCCCATGACAATCGCAATTCAAACTGCGGGATGGAATGGAGGTAAACCAGCCCAGAAACTACCCTCACGATGACCCAATGATGATACCATGCTTACCGTGTCGCATCAGGCGTCCACCTTGTCAACGCTTTCATCCTAATCACCTGTTTGTCAGCCATCAACTCGTCAATTTATATCGGATCGCGCACCATTTTATACATGGCTCAGTCTGGTAAAGCACCGAGGTTTATTGGTCGGACCAATAAAAAGGGGGTGCCTGTCTGGGCAATTGTGCTCACTAATGCTGTTGGCTCTATATCCATGATGAACGTTTCTACTGGCGCGTCCAAGGCATATGGATACATTGTCAATCTTTCAGGTGTCAGCACCTTTCTGGTATGGGGTAGTATCAGCTTTATTCATATTCGCTTTCGACGAGCTTGGACTGCTCAGAATCGAAGTTTGGACGAAATTCCATTCAGAAGCATGTTTTATCCATTCGTCGCATACTTTGGCTTAGTTGCCAACCTATTCCTCGCCCTTGTTCAGGGATGGACGACACTGTCACCCTTCAATGCTGGCAATTTTGTCGACGCATACATTCTTTTACCGCTTTTTGGGTTGATATATCTTGTGGGGAAGCTGTACTGGGGAAATGACGACAAATTTAAGCGTAGTTCGGAAATTGATCTCGACAGTGGCAGAAGAATAGATTTGGATGGTAAAGGGATTATGCCTGAAGATGAAGCTTA